GTAGTAGACTCAACACAAGTCAAAACACTAATTTGTATAGAGTATAGATTTGGTTTGGTTTTTGATCCATTAACAGCAAATTAATCACCTAAACTTGATAGTCTTTGGTGGTAACATTGTAATTTCGGGTCCATTAATTCAAAAAAAAGTTCTAATTAGAACATTTTTTAGTAGTCACTTTTAGTTCAGTTTCTGATTAAACTGGTTTATAGTAAGTGCCCTTTTGCATGTGGTCCAAATGGTACAAAATATAATTTTTGTTGAACCCTTTTTTATGGTCGAAGTAAGCCATATTTTATATATATTTTTTATTTATAGTACTAATACTTCATACATGCGTTTTAATAATAACAGTGCTCGCAAGAGTAGCGCAAATGTGGTCTATGTTGTTTATTGCGTCGATGCTCTCTTGCTCAACGCATTTTGAGAGAAAATGGCTGTCAAGAATCACCGAAGCTCAATTTATGGCAAACTGTACTTGAAATTGACTATTTCTTGGAGTTGTCATTAGCTTCCCGTTTGTGTTTCGGTCTTTTGAGATTGCAAATCCTGTCCGAAGATGAAGTCTTCTTTTTCGACAGGCCACAGCAAAGGAATTCATAAGAAACTACACGGAAAACGTGGATCCAGAAATACCATTTCCTAAGTTCTTTAAAAATATCCCTTTTACATTACTTTTTAGTACTGGATTTCACTTGGAGTTTTCTTAAACATATTTTTTTTTCTAACGGTGCTGATTTTGCAGCGCATTTATTTATTTTGAAAACTTTTCTTTGGCGTTTTGAGTTAGCTGCGTCCGCGCACAAAGCTTAATGAGGCGTAAATAAATCCGCGCGACTTAAATACTAATTTTTTTTATTGGGATACGTGTGAAGACATGGAAACAGGCGGCGGCACCTTGTCCCACATGAATAATTATCGCCTTTAAGGCCGAATAAGTTCTGTACGTTAGCCAAATTTATTTGCGCCGACAAGGTCGAAAGGCTTACAAATAAAAGAAGATTTATATTGATTGCGTAAATATTCTTTTGTCTTAATGGGCAACTAACTTTTCAAATAGAAAACAAATAGCGTGCGGCCTTTGTTTTTTTTTGCCTTTCGCAACGAGGGGCGGTATTAAATTTGGAGGTTGCACTTTTATTTTGGAAACTGTTTTTTTAGGTTAAATCATTCGAACAATAATTCACACAAATCTTGTTCAATCCTGTTGAAGGATATTGCCCATCAGCATTCCAAAGAAATTTTAATTGATTTTTTTAGCATAACATTTGAATATTTTAAAATATTTTCTACGCATCGATATTCGGAAATAGGCGAGGTATAAAATTTTAAAAAGTGGAATTGGTTACATAATCTTCTATTTTTCTGGTATTATCTGCTCTCTAAATTTTTAATAGATATCGGTTCACTTTGTAAGAAATATTTTTAATATGATTTTTAGTTCAGGGTGTGTAAATAATACTTTAGCTATAGAGATGTGATTGGTTGACTTGTATTTTTATTTTCTCCAATTGAGATTATTATTCTGTTATCTTAATAAGCTTGAATGTTCATATACCGGTACTTTCCACCGTTTTCTTTCTAAAAAAAAAATCAGCGACCTCCTCACACTTAACTTGGATTTTCCCTGAAAATTTAATCGGATCTGGACATATTTTGACAAAATACTGCCGAAGATGCCACGTTCCAATTGAAAACTGTCGAATTTGCGAACTGTGAGTGGCCATGTTGATTGACGAAAGTCTCGAGTTTTCAAATAAATTGCGCATCCTAAATGTCTCTTCTCAAACATTTTTTGATGTTTTTTTCAAACGCATGGCATAGGCAATATGGGCATGGGCACCATGTATTTTGTAACTATACACACCCGGTTAGAAAAGAGTATCTTAAATATCACCAAAATTGCGAAAGCAGGGTTTTTGAACATGAAAGAGTCACACTTCATAATTTTTAAATTGAATGCTCATTTATTTTTGTTGCAGTGAATTAGTAATATAGTAAGGCCTCATAATTTCAAAATTTTGTTTTTGTTAATTACCAAGCTACAGCAACACCGCTTTTTCAGTGAAAACTACAAACAAGAACCTCTAGGTATTGAATTTTATAGTTCTAGCTTTGGCAGTTTTGGAGACATTTAAGTGGTGCGGTACTTTTTAATAACTTGATATATGAAGTTAACGTTTGGTGAGCGGGTTTACAGTGGCACTCATAGATTATTCTATATTAATTTATGCTATTACTGATTTTGCGGATAGATCAATACCTATTACTAGCAATAAGTGCATTGTGCAGTAAGTCTTAGTTTATATACTTACTTTAATAGGTAAGGAATTGAATTATAAGTTACAAAAGTAAAAAATATTTCAGGGTAATTAGGCGCAGCTAAAAATCATTCAAGTTTTTATTTCGTTATTTAATAAATGTGTTTTCGGGCATTAATCACTTATTGACGCACAAAATATCCAAATTCATTTTTTTAGTTATAAATTTAAAGTTGAATTATTTTTTTTTTTTGATTAAATTCGGGTTTCCAAACATTTAATCAAAATGTATGTAAGTAACTATCCAGATAAGGATATTTCTAATAAATGTCCAACAATTTTGAACATATGTTTTCATCTTACTCACTTCCTTGTTGAAAATGTACCATGTAATGTATTCTACAATTAGCGTGATATTGTTTTTTCACAGCAGGTCTCAAACCTCAAATCCTCAAAGTCAAAACTCGGAATAAAGTGATCTAACTGCTAACCCATAGCAGTTTCTAATCAGTCTAGTCTAGGTATTCAATTTCATTCTCGTCAATTAGTTATGCAGCCTCATTTGACTAAAGCAACCCCTACATTTCCCGATTTGACACCATTTATCTACACCCGTATAATAGAAGACTGCGAACGATGACGTTTGTTCAATCAATTAGCGATTTTTAAGCTCGCGACTTGCTAAAAAAAGTCAAACCGCGGCCTTGGTAGAACAAGAGATCATCCTAGGAAGAATGATAAAAGAGACAATATTTAAAAAATATTGCGTCATCGCCCGTAGTATAGTACGACGTAGATAATAGGAACTCAGTCCTATTCATGGTACTCATAGCCGGTGCTGAGCAGGTTGTTTGGTTCTTGAAAAGATTTCCGGATGTCGGTGATTAGTCACTCGACAGCAACGAGAACTTAACGATGTAACAATTAGCTCGAAGAATTTGTGCGTGCGTATGCGATGGTGAGTTCAGGTTTATCAAAATTTACAAACCGATTAACTACGTGTACTTTTTTGTGGTTTTGAGATATTAATTATCATCGGTTTTATTTGCACGCATTTTGACGTAATTCGTTTGTTTTTTGGTTGACACTAAATTTTCGCGCGTTTTTGTCAAACCGGAAAAATTAATTACGATTATTAAAATTAACGTCAATTCAATTCTACGATGATAATGCTTGTCGCTCATTGTACAAGGCAGGTTTTCACCTTTTTTCGGGATTGAAAACAATGGCGGGTTGGTTTTTTTTAACCGTCGCCATTTTAAAATTAATAAGAAAGAAATGTGTCGATAAAACTATGGTTTACTTTTATAGTAATTCTCCTACGACTTACCACTTACTACCACACTTTTTTTAGCATCCCGTAGTAATATTTCTTATTGGTTGAACATCTATTAATATTATTTAAGAACTTGTTCTGCATTGTCTATTTTTTCTTTTAAATTAGATTTGACTTAAACTTAAAAAGAAGTGAATATTTGCGTAGACGCAGTTGTCATGATTGTTAAATACGCAAGTTTAAAGTGAAATAACAGAAATTTACATGGCTCGCTGATCAAAGAAATTGGTTATGAAAGCATAGAGTTTATCAAATTTTCCCATATATGCCACAAAACTTTTGGCATGCACGTATATAACGCACATACGTAAAAACAATATCTCGAAATGTCAAAGTGTCAAAAAATGATCATTAAATAAACGAGTTAAGAAAGTCTTGATGAATATAAATGTTTCTTTTCTTTTTTTTTATCAACTGTTATGTAATTATTCGTTCGCTTAAACCAACTGTTCCTGGTCTGATAAAAAAGAATTTAATGCCTCGAGCTTAAAAAAATATTTGTGTGTAAGCTAAGATTAAGGTATAGCTTAACAAAATGTTATATTTGGTTTCGTACGACTACTAACCAAAATTGTTTTCGTGGACATCCTAAAGAATGACGATTAGATAGATATTATACTTGCAATAAACTGCATCTAATGTGGTGGGTTTTTTTTAATAATTGTAATTTGTGGATACAATTCATAAAATCGACGTCGTGTAATATCGTTGGTCAATATATTTGTGGCCTTAAAACCTATTTCATAGGCTGGATATGTTAAGTACGCTGGAACTGTATCAGGCATATTTTTTTCTGTATGGTCCGTGTTAAAAGACGTTTGATTTGTGGGAACGTTATTCATTTGAATTTTGCGAAATGGTAACCTTTTCGAAGAGGCTGTCCTTTCACTCGCGAAGAAGCCTTAAGATGATTATAATGACATAATTCGCGCCGTGGTTGAAATACTCTTCTAAGAAGAAGATTGGTTTGACCCAAAATTAGACAATACCATGTCGCGTAATGGCGACGTAATATAGGCTTAATACGTTTTTAAAAACACCAGCTGGGTTAATAATTAACTAGTGTTCGAGTTGTTTGTTTTGAGTTTCAGCGCATTAACTTATTACACAACTTCTAACTAAACTACATCTTTCTGCAAATTTGTAAAAATTTTATTAAAAAAAATATTCGATTCTTTCTTCTTTGTTTTTAAGGATGTCGAAAATTTCTTCCCAGGTTTTGAAATTGAAGTTGAATCAAATCAGTAATTTTTTGAGTAAATAAGTTGACAACCAAACATGTCGAGCGTGCCATTACAAATATATTAAAAGATCTTGGTGAATTCTGCGTTGTCGAAAAAAAAAAACGCTACGGCCTATTCTTAAGCAAGCAATCACGCAGTGACGCCCCTTCCTTGTTGCAGGTCTCGTCGAGAATGAACCCAACTCCGGAAATCTGTTGACGATCAATGGGTTTACAAGAAATCAACTGTTACTTGCACGCCAGACCGCCAGGACGCAAAAAGTGTAATCACTAAGCGAATTCGTCATGAGCAAATGAATTAGACGAACGGCATAATCACAATGTACAACAATAGAAAGTCACTCATTATTAAAGTCCTCATCATAGTCTGTCTGATTTACTTTGCCATACACATCATCACCAATAGCGCCCCCACCGTTATAAGAGAACTTCAACAATCGGGTAGGAGCCTGGCCGCTCTGGACACCCAGAGTTTGGAACAGACGTCCTTGGTCCAGGAAATCGCGGTACCTACCACCGTCAACATCACCAAGACCTCTACTTCGGCAGCGTCTCGCGCTTCCGAAGATGTCAGACGGGTACTTACGGTCTTCGAAAAGGTGAAGGAGGTAACGCAATGCCTGGATCGATCTGTAGTGCCAAAAACGCAGCAACGAGGTGACTACTGGGTGTTGTACAACTACGTGACCGCGCAGAGGACGTTTAAATGTGAGGAAAGTGTTACGTACACCACCCACGCGGACTACTCCTTTATGGACAACCTAGTGCCATTGTTAGAAAGGTGGAGGGCGCCGATTAGTATCGCCCTGCACGCACCCGGTTCCGATTTCGCGAATACACTGGAATCGATCGCGCACCTGAGAGACTGTACCACGTCACTGGTCAAGGAATACGTCACTTTTCATATTTATTTCAGCACCAAACACGTACCCAAAGAGGCAAGTACTATTCATATTTTTATTTGTAATTTGGTCGAAGTATCCAAAATTATATCAACATGTGTAGCTTCTAATGAAGTGACTATTTTTTTCTGCTGCGAGTCAGTTGCACAGAATGTGCTTAGGAGTAGCCCTGAAACTTTCGCAAGTTTTCAGTGACTAGTGGTTTTGGTATTGGCTATCTTAGTAGTGGCCTTATTTGCTAGTTTTTCGTTACCAATATCTGCCTCATATAACCAATAATCAATAAGACATCAAATTTGTCATTGTCTTCTTTTGGTGTCGAACCAGCTACCCAAAATCGGTTACGGGAATGCTTGCTAATCCAATTCTGTGGAAGTTCAGCAGTTTCATTCTCTTTCAGTCTGTGGTGGCCAAATTATATGTAAAGGAGCCACGACAGTTCAGTTATAAAGTGAGTCGAAACCAATAACCAACATATAGTTGAAGTTGAATAGTTCAAGTCTTGGAATTGTCAAGGGTTTCAGTTTATGCTTCGCGATGTCGCCATATGGGCTAAGTGCCTATGGAACCTGAAGTCAGGGTGATGTTATCTGGTTATTCCACATAGTAAAGATCGGAGAACTATTTTAAATCACTGTGTAATTAATATTTAATAACAAAGCAACTCTCAAGTCGCAAAAATCGCTAACAGCATTAACAGCAGACAACCAAATCGGCGTCCAAATTCAAAATGTAAAAAGTCCCAAAGCATCCGTCTCCTCTGATAAGTCTAAAGTTTTACGCGTAGTAGTAAAATATGCCCGGAAAGATTAAGGGCTTATGGGCCCTATTGGTTATTACTTTGGTTGTGCCCTACTAACCATATTGAACTTTTGTACTGACCTGCCAATCTAGTTAGAGTGATTTATCATTTTCTCGGATTTGTACTGGGGTAGACTTATAATAATCCCTCAGAAGCTGATTAAGTCACCAGATTGTTGCAGATTTCGCTGATAGTACTTGTCATAAAGCACAAACATCAGTGTGTGTGCAGACATTACGCAATTAAAAAATAAAGAGTAATCGTATCCTTTTCGTTTCCAGGTTCCCAAACATAATCACGTGTTCGAAGAGCCCTACAACTGTTCTCTAACTCCGCCGTATCTCAACGTATCCTCCGATCAGATGTACAAGGCTCAGAAAAATCTTCTCTACCCTGTAAATGTGGGTCGTAACGTCGCTAGGGAAATGGCTCAGACCTATTACGTTCTAGCGTCTGATATTGAACTGTATCCTAGTCCTAATATTAGCACCAAGTTCCTAGATATGATCGCGACTAACACCGGGCCTCTTCTGAGCAAGAACCCCAAGGTGTATCCACTGCACATATTCGAAGTCAGTGCCAATGCTGCGGTTCCCGAGACGAAGAACATGCTGAAGGAGATGCTGGGAAACGGGACCGCATTGCCTTTCCACAAGAAGCTCTGTCCGGGTTGTCACAGCGTGCCGAAGGCGAAGGAGTGGCAAACCGCCAACGAGACGGAAGGTTTGCACGTGTTCCATGTGGGGAAACGAATCGGTAGTTTCGTGCATTGGGAACCCATTTATATCGGTACCCATTTCGACCCGTTGTATGACGAACGACTCAGCTGGGAAGGGAAGAGTGATAAGATGACTCAGGTCAGTAACTTTATTTACATCAATATAACGGGAGCGTACTTCGTAACCATTATATCTATATACCTGTAACGAGGATATTCCAAATTCCCAATATTCCTGGAAATTAACTAATTATTATAGCAACTAAACTAAATCAATTATTTAATTTGAAACAATTAAATTAAAGTTATTAAACATGTCGACAAATAAAGAGCTTTAAATTTAAACTTAATAAAGATTATAAAGATTAACTCAGTTTACACCTCCGCCTAACATAATGATTTTATTAACAAAGTACCGACAAAAAAAAACAATATAAAAATCTTGGATTGATAAATAATTTTTTTTTGTCAAATTATGTTTAATTTATGAGCAATAACAATTGCACTTTTTTTGCAGGAAATCAAAATATTTGAGAGTATTTATTTATGTATTTTTATATAGGAAAAAGTGTAAATGATATTCAAGACACCTTATTGGTGATGTCTGATTTAGAATTAGACTGTTAATAATAAAAAATTGACCCGAATTGTCAATCCTCATCGCTATTAAAATAATTTCCTAACTTCTGAAGTAAACTTCTGATGTAAATGTAAATTTCACGAACAACCCAACGCACTAAATAGACGATTTCATCGGTTTCATGAAAGTAATAAAATTGTACTGCAACGTCTCGGATGTACCAGCGCTTTACGCAATTATTAATTTGACCGCTACATGGTGGTGTTAATCACATTTCTTGTTTTCGTTAGTATGATCAGCGTTTATCGGGGAATACTAACCGTTACTATGAATTTATTATGAATAAGGTTTCGAGTTTACAATGAATTGTTTTTTGGTGGCTTATACACAAAAATATCATTGCTGTTTCCCAAAAATGATATGTCAGATTCTGCTTAGGCGAGCGAGGAGTATATTATAAAAATTAAAATAAATTTAGAAAACCCGCTCATTCACGCCGAGAAATTCATGGCCGTTACAGACATAAACCGACCATAAACGTGATTAAAACAATGTTGACACACCAGTTTTGCTTTTTCGACAAAGCCGGTTATTTTTAAACTATTTTTATTTTAACTAGCACCCGCAAATTTCTCAGAACAACTTAAATTCTGAACTTATCTCTACCTACATTTCTATTAAATTTTCGCAAGGGATCATCATGTTTTCTAAGAATGTAATTGAAATTATGCCATACACGCTGTTGTAAAAATGTTGTTACACAAAAACATTTTGTTTTAAAATCCCGAAATTCATTTAGAAACTCAGGTCGCGTTAAAAGCGCCATTTGGCGTATTTTGATTTATAACATGTGTGGGAACCATATAGCTACTAGACATATTGAGGCCCTTGCTTATGCTGCTATGTGAATAAGTTTGTAGGCAGCATTTTGCGGCAGTATTTTATCAAAATATGCCTAAATCTCGTTAGATGTTCTCCGAGTTAAGTGTGTGGAAATATAAGGTTGTTCGGAAAGTCATTTCGTTTTTTCCCGTCAGAGGACTTAATTACGTTTTTTCGAAACCAACTTCACACTTAAGCCGCATAACCATTACATGTCTTGAGAGCTGATATTGCAAGGCTTGTGTGTGAAAAAGTTCTATTAATTCTACGCAGTAGTTTTTGGTTGGTGCCCTTTTAAATATGGAGAGCAATAAGCAGCATTTTCGTCATATTTTACTTTTTTACTTCAGAAAAGGTAAAAATGCTGTGCAAGCGAGAAAAAAATTGACGGCTGTGTATGGAGAAGGCGTGTTAACAGTACGCCAGTGCCAGAACTGGTTTGCAAAATTTCGATCCGGCAATTTTGATGTCGAAGATGCACCACGGTCTGGAAGGCCGGTCGAAGCTGACAAAGATGCGATAAAGGCATTAGTTGATGCAAATCGGCGAATAACCACACGAGAGATCGGTGAGAGATTAAATTTGTCGAATTCGACTGTTTATGGCCATTTGAAAGGCATGGGCTTAACCTCGAAGCTCGATGTGTGGGTGCCCCATGTCCTTACGGAGCGAAATTTGCGTCGTCGCGTTGACGTGTGTGATTCGCTCCTCAAACGTCAAGAAAATGATCCATTTTTGAAGCGGATTATTACTGGGGACGAAAAATTAGTTGTATACAACAATGTTAAACGCAAGAGGTCATGGAGCAGAAAAGATGAACCGGCTCAAAGCGTGTCAAAAGCCAACATTCACCAAAAAAGGTGATGCTCTCCGTTTGGTGGGATGTCAAAGGAATCGTTTTTTTTTGAGCTTTTGCCGGACAATACAACGATTAGTTCAGAAGGCTATTGTCATCAACTGAACAAATTGAATGATTCACTTAAAGAGAAGAGGCCCGAATTAATCAACAGGAAGGGTGTAGTGTTCCACCAGGATAATGCGAGACCTCACACAAGTTTGGTCACTCGCCAAAAACTTTTACAGCTTGAATGGGACGTACTGCAACATCCACCATATTCTCCAGATCTGGCGCCTTCCGACTACTATTTGTTCCGGTCCCTGCAAAATTTTTTGGATGGCAAAACCTTTACCTCAAATGAAGATGTCAAAAACCACCTGAACCAGTTTTTTGCCAGCAAGGACCAAAACTTTAATGAGAGGGGAATTATGTTACTGCCAGAAAGGTGGCAAAAGGTGTTGGACCAGAATGGCCAATATATAATTTAATAAAATATTTATTCATTATACGAAAACTGTCTTTCATGTTCCCCAAAAAAAACGAAATGACTTTCCGAACAACCCAATATAATGATTCTCCGCGCATACCCCTACATTTTATCCACTAAACAGTTCTGCTACTACTACAGAACTACTTTTTTTTTAGTCGTGAATTTATATGGTACTGAAGACAAAATTGTTGCTATCAAATAAAAACAAAAATCTAATTTTAAAAGCGATGTGTTTATTTTTGCATCGAGTTCAGACCTCATACACAGTCATCATACAAGAATCAGTTCTGATTGATCCATTTCAAATCGACTTACGAACCCTTCTGGGACGGATCGTAAATCGGACAATTATGAAGGAAAGCCTGAACTGTTCTTGAAATGCACATGCGTGTTTTATTTTACATTTAGATATAAATAAAATTAAAGTTCAGAGTGAGGTTCGGAGTTAATTACTTACGGCATTCGTTTGATTTTATCAGTGGACTATAGAAAATCCAACCATTTTTTTTTAATTTGCAGGGATACGCCTTGTGCGTTTTGGACTACGACTTTCTCATTTTGGACAACGCTTTCCTGGTTCACAAGCCAGGCATAAAGGTCTACAAACAGGACCCGAAAAGGTCGATGCTGGCCGCGAAAACGAATCAACTGATCAAGAAGATAATTTTCCCGGAACTGAAAGTGTTGTATGGCATTAAAAAAGGCTGTGCTGTCTAGGTATGCGCGCGATCAAGCGATTTACCCATGTAATTTAAATGGACACCGAGTTTAGCGTACGAATAGCGAGCGACGTTTAAGGAAAAATGTGATTGCGTAGTACTTTTAAAAATTAGCGTCTAGTGGGTCTGCAGTAAAGCCTAGATCGGTGATAATCGGAGGTTCGCTGTAGTCAATTGAACGTAATGAGCGATTGGGAAATTTTTAAAATTGTTGTGTACCTATTAGCGTAGTATTATTTTGATAACTTTAATCGTTTTAGGGTGAAACTTAGACTTAGGGGAAGCTCTAATTTTCATGGTTGAGGGTTGACGCGCAATTGTTTTATAATATCGATCTCATAAAATGGGACTATGTATCGTACCTACTTAAGGTTGATGTATTCATTAGCTATTCAAAGTCGGGTATCGAAATACATTTACGAAAAATGTAGATCTTCCTCTAGCGTCTTCAAATTCGATCGGTGTTTGGGCTCTTTGGTTTTAATGTACCTACCTATCCATATTTATATATCTCTATCTAGTGTACATATATCACTACGTATTTGCTCACGAAAATACCTGTTTGAAAATGCAGAGAAATCCAGGGTAAATTTTGACAAAAAAAAAATTGAAAATATATACCAAGTATAGCCTATATATTTTACTTAATATATGCTTATATATTCCTGTATTGGCTGCTTAACAAATACCATCTAAATTAGCCATAATTAGACGGATCCAATATCATGACATTTGTAACTTAGTTAAACTGCCTAATGTGTAGACTTGAATGATATTTAATATTTTAAGTATACTTACATTATCGCTATACTATACACGTTTCGTTAGCATCTACAAGACTTTTTTAAACTATAAACGATCATTTTCCTATTTTTGTTAGAATAGACTGATATTTTTAACTGTTCATTGTATAGAGTCTCAAGTATAGATACCAATGCAAAATCGGCAAAAAATATTTCTATCTTATGTTTCAGAATTGAACTAACAAAAAAAACAAACGAATAATATTTCTTCTGAAAAAATAAGCAAAGATTTGCTCCCTGGGTATTTATCTGGATATTATAAAAATAATATTTTTTGCTGAACCAAATTGAGGTTCTATGAAATGAGGGATTTATTATAGACCGACGATTTTAAGAGTATACTAAGCGGTTTGCAAAAGCGCTATAAATAAATTTATAATCTGTTACTTATTAGCCAATAGATACACTCATAAGTGCATTTGCTCAGTATATTTATTTTTAGTCATAAGAAGATTCGCCCGGAATCACGCATCTTTTAAAATTTTGAGTACTTATTTCATATGAAATTACCGATAATGAGAAGAAAATAAATCTGTAGTTGATTTTATACAGCCCTTCCTTAAAGAATTTTGTTGTATTTTAATTCGTATTTTTTTTTAAATTGCTAGTCCTGTTAATATCAGGGACAGTATAGATTGTATGTTCCCAATGTTATATGTTAGTCCTATTTGTTTGCTGTATTAGCGTTTATTGTGCCTTAAATCCTGTAAAAATGTCGTGATCATGATAAGCGAAACCATAATTTTTCTACTATTAAATGGATATAATATATTCTGGAAGGAAATAAACTTTTTACCGAAGTTATCGTTGTCAATCCCTTACATTCCACCTTCCCGGTTACATTCTCTCTCCACAAAAGCAGGATTATAAAAATGTGGATAAGCATAACGAAAGAGGGAAACAAGCCGTCAATGACATCACAACTTGTCAGAGTTGGGCAGCTTAAAAAGTTACTTAATCCATTGTTTTGAAATTCAAATATGAAAGATAAAACAAAATTCCTGTTATGTCATTGATTCCACAGTTAAACTTAAATTTTTTCAAGGTGCACAAATTGTTGATAAATTACGGATGCCGAATATTGAGCGGATAATCTTAGTAATATTGGCCAGCTGATCGGAAATAGTATTTTCCCTCTCTTATATCTCACAAGCTTGAAGATAAACGCTCCACAAAGCGACATTATTTTTAGGGTTCGAAATTTTACGCAGAACAAAAAAAAAATGAAATAATACATTGTGAACTCATTGACGTTATGGACAGCATTTCAACTAAGGTAAGTCGCGGTGCGGAAATTCTATCCATATACCATGGGTACTTGTTTCATTTCGGATTATACCAAAATCGCAAACCTATGATCTTTGGACTTTATTGTTTTTCATTTTTTGTAGTGCGAGTGATTAACTGTGGGGATTTTTTGCTAGTACTTTATTGAAAATAGGGCTGTTTTAATTGTTGAAGTGTATATCCGACGTAATGGCACTGAAAGCTCAAGTGGGTCAAAGTATGTATGAAAACTATCTCTACTTCTAGTTGTATCTACTTCATAATTTTTAAAGTTTCAAACAAATAATTCCTTGTGTCCGATTATCTGTTTTTGTTTCGTTTTTGATCATTTTGGAACATCTAAAAATATACTAAAACCAAATTTCTGGAAATTTTATTCCATTCATTGGATGCAAGTCCTCTGACGTCATTTCATCAATATTTTACCAGAGATGTAATCAGCAATCCACTGAGTCAGAGGGCATTTATAGTAAATTGTTGTTTATCATACTTTTTTTATTATTTCCGGATTATTAAAATTTAATAAACAAAATTCCAGTACATTGTCATTAAAAATTTAATTAAAACGTGGATAAATTTTATTTTGCAGAAATTATGAACGAGGTGATCAAATACAGACCTCCAAAGAAAAATGGACCCACAACGGGCGGTCATCGTTTAGAATGGCGAGTCCTAGTTGTAGACAAACTGGCAATGAGAATGATTTCCGCCTGTTGCAAAATGCACAACATTTCTGCAGAAGGCATAACCTTGGTGGAAGACATTTTTAAAACGAGAGAACCATTACTTACCATGGAAGCTGTATATCTTATAACCCCTTGCAAGGAATCTGTCGAAGCATTGATGAGGGATTTTGATTCATCAAAACATGTGATGTATAAAGGTGCCCATGTATTCTTTACAGAAGGTAAATTTTAGTGAATTTAATTCTATAGGTGCTAAACAAGGTTACTTTTATTCTACAGCGTGTCCAGATACTTTATTTAATGAGCTAGTGCACCATCCTGTAGCCAAATACATTAAAACTTTAAAAGAAATCAACATTGCTTTTATACCAAATGAAGCGCAGGTATAGAAATTATAATATTTAATGCAACATTAAGGTTTGGCGCTTAGTAAACGTCTTACTAACACCTCTAACTGTAACTCGCCTTTATAATATTCAAAAAGCTTATTTCATATATAGGGTGGTTCAAATTATAATAGAGAAATTTAACGACATATTCAGCAGATAAAAATAAGTTAAAAAATTCATTCAAAGTTATGTAAAAAATGCTACATTTCGGTATTGAAATATTGCAAAAAAAATTTTTGGAACATATGTAACTTTTTTACTTGTTTTTATCTGCTGAATAGGCAGTTACAGTTTCTCTATTATGATTCAGACCACCCTGTATAGCAATCTGAACAAGTCTTTTTTCCGCGCCTGCCCATCAAGTGTTTTCGTCAATAAAATAAAGTAGACAAAAAAGTGTTTGTAAGCTGTGCCATGGTATTCACTATTTGTTGTTATATTTAGCTATTTAGCTGAAAATGATCACATGCTTTGATCCACGGGGACAAGTAGTATAATCTTGCGTAATGTAGTTTATTGCTGGATTTTACAACCTGTTTCAATGGCGAAGTTTTTGGGATTTCCTTAATCAAGTTTGAAACACAAACATGGAAACACTTAATAACAAAATTGTAAATAAAGTTATTTACATTTTAACAAGCCTTTAATTAACAGATCATGTTACATAGGAATTCAAACAATTCTTTTGATGAAGAATATCTAGAGGACCTTTTAGTAACCTAATTATAGGTCTTGTGAGGTTATAGTGTGGGTTTAGGTTTGGTTTAAACCGAATTTTCGCAATGAATCCTTTCTTAATATCTTCAAAAAATGTCCACATTGACGTGTGTAATTCCCCATATTGCAATTGATGAGGAGAAAATGCAGTGAGGGGGAAGAATTGAGTAACTCCTATGCTGTAATAGTTTATACTATAAAATTATTTTATGCAAAAATAAATGGAAAACTGTTATTTTATTTCCCGTTAAAGAGATCTTTAATCACATATAATATGCTGTGAACCAAAGAGCAATTAATTATATCGGAAATCATCTAATTTCCAAAGTTAAGGAGACACCCAAATGTGAGGTACACCATTGAATTTACGATAAAAACTTAACCTGAAAGCACCAAAGTTGTTGAATCTTGAATAACTCTCTGGGAAATCGTGTGAAAATTCGGTTTTTGAAAGGTTTTTGTCACTTGTGTGCTTTATGTGTAAAATAACGTCAAAATGAAAGTATTTTCCAAACTTTACATTAATTTTACGTGTTCAGTCTGCCCCGAGGAACTGTTCAATGAGCTGTGCAAGTCTTGTGCGGCCAAGAAAATTCGCACGCTAAAGGAAATCAACATTGCCTTTTTGCCATATGAATCGCAGGTGTGTGGTGTGGTTTTCTTTGTATAATGTGTTCTGTTTGCTTCCTATATGCTTCTAACTACTAATCACGCACAACATTCGTTATATTTTGGTCGCGGCGACAAAATTTTGTACCAAAAACCGCATTTCAGGTGTTTTCTTTGGATTGCGCCGAAACTTTTCAGTATTACTACAACCCTTCTTATTCCCAAAAATACAGCGCCAATCTGGAGAGAATGGCTGAACAGATCGCCACTCTATGCGCAACCTTGGGCGAATATCCTTCCGTTCGATACAGAAGGTATTAACTTTGTCCTCCATAGTCGATTATTAGCTGACCTAGCAATTATTATAGCGATTGGGATCGCAATGTTGAACTGGCTCAACTGATCCAACAAAAATTGGATGCATATAAGGCGGATGAGCCAACCATGGGCGAAGGTCCAGAAAAAGCTCGTTCACAATTGCTAATTTTAGATCGCGGATTTGACTGTGTATCGCCCCTTCTGCATGAGCTTACGTTCCAAGCCATGGCTTACGATTTGTTGAACATTCAAAATGATGTCTATGAGTAAGTGTAAGGGTTTAGAAAGCGAGGTGAGAGGTCATGTGGTATCACTTTAGATATGAGGCTTCTGCTGGGGTAAAGAAGGAAGTGTTGCTTGACGAAAATGACGACATGTGGGTGGAATTGCGCCATCAGCATATTGCAGTGGTTTCCCAGAATGTCACAAAAAATCTAAAGAAATTTACGGATTCCAAAAGAATGACGGCGAGTGATAAACAGTCAATGAAAGATCTATCTACTATGATAAAAAAAATGCCTCAATACCAAAAGGAGCTGTCCAAATATGCCACCCATCTCCAATTAGCTGAGGATTGCATGAAGCAGTACCAGGGATATGTTGATAAATTGTGTAAAGTGGAGCAGGTAATTACTGCGCCATAACGGGGGAAGTAAATTATTTTAATTTTGGTCATGGACATGGACATTTTTTAGGATTTGGCAATGGGCACAGATGCTGAAGGCGAAAAAATCAAAGATCATATGCGTAACATTGTTCCCATTCTCTTAGATCCAAAAATTACGGATCAGTATGACAAAATGCGCATCATAGCTCTATACGCGATGACCAAAAATGGCATAACCGATGAAAATTTATCCAAACTTGCCACGCACGCTCAGATAACTTCCAAACAGACGATCGCCAACCTCCAATACCTCGGAGTTAATGTGATTAATGAGGTAACGTGGAGTTTGCCAACCATTTTCCGTTTTTTAAAATTTGCATCTAGGGCAACACTCGAAGGAAACCCTATACGCCCCCGCGAAAGGAAAGAATCACTGAACAGACATATCAAATGTCGCGGTGGACGCCGGTTGTCAAGGACATAATGGAGGATTGTATAGATGACAAGCTTGACCAAAAACACTTTCCGTTTTTGGCAGGCAGGGCTCAGAGTAGTGGATATCATCCGCCATCAAGGTTAGTCGCATTCTCTTAAAAATGCACTGTTAAATTGTATAGGTACACTCCTCCTGAATTTCTCCTGCGTCGGATATTGCCAAATATATCTGAAATTGCCCTCTGAAGAAGCCAGCATCATGTTTGGCGAAACGTCAGCAAGCATGAGGAGAGGAGAAATCCAGGATTGTATCTACAAGTTTCACAGCGTGCGGAAGTTTCTTTGACAAAAAAAAAGTTATTGAACTGCAAAATTTTATATTCTTGTGTTTGACACTGAAACTAATATCTTCTCATTACTCTCTAAATATTTCAGCGCGCGGTACGGTCATTGGCACAAGGATAGAAGCCAACAGACTGTGAAAAATGTACCCCGCTTGATTGTTTTTATTGTGGGGGGTGTCTGCTTCTCCGAAATACGTTGCGCATACGAAGTGACCAACGCCCTTAAAAATTGGGAAGTGATTGTCGGATCTTCTCACATATTGACCCCAAAAGCTTTCCTTGAACAACTCACAGCCCTCACACCAAACTAGAACACACCCAAGAAGGTCACTTTCAACGTCACGGTTAACTGATACAGCTTTGCATTCTTGTGTTGATACAATTTACATATTCACGACATTGAGAGTCTAAGCTAGGAGTTCTGAGATGTTATAATGGATGTACATAATCAAATAATTTATCTTTTATGTATTGTTACTCGTTTTATTTATTTAGTAATGTGTTACAGGTATTAACAAGAAAGTTTAAGACTAATGTTCGGTATTCCATTTAGTTGATTCAGTATTTTTCAAGTTAATGCTGTGGATGTGATTGTTCTATTAAGAAGCGATCATTCATGGTGTTAGGTGATATTTATCGTACTTGCGTTAGAAATTAATATGTCACCTTTCTTGAATTTTTCTAACATTCGTAAAGTTTTATAAATTCACTTACTGTTTACTGCCTTAATGATTGTTAGATCATTAGAGAACTGTAGATGAATCTAGTCTAACGATGCACATAATATATTTATCTAGCAGTTAATCCTTGAATTTCTTCTAAACAAAAATTGAGGTATACCTCTCCTATTTCATTGGATGTCTACAATTTGTTAGTTTTTTTTTTCTTTAATTTGAACTTATCTGACTTTAATTAACAAAAAAAATGTCGAACGAGAAAATAATTAAGTTCACAAGAATTTCACGACGAATACCAAAAATCATCAGTCGCGTTTACAAGAGCCCTGAATTGCAAACAAAATCTAAATGGTATAAAACCAACTTTGAAAATAACAAAAATCCTTTTAAGTATGAAGTCAATACAATAGCTCTGATCAAACTAGAAAGGTAAAAAAGTTATTTTTTTTTTTGTTTTATCGGTTTTATATTCGTTATTTGAAAGAGTTCTTACCAAGCCAGGTTGAGGGTTTGTAATTGGGGTTCTTGACGCGGACCAGATGTTCTGATTGAAAGGGTAGGAAATTTTTTGGTTGACTCGTTTTTAGCTTGTAAATTTCAGTTGTTGAAACTTGTTTGATTATGCCAGTATTTATGTGAATACACCAAGTTTTGGGATTTTATAAGTAGAAAAATATTGTTAATAATCTAAATAAATATTTCATTGTAATTAAATTTTCCGTATTGTGAAAAACTAATCGCATTTCCGTAATGGAAGTATTGTAAACAGTACGTTGTACTTATTCGTTATTGTGCTATATTATATTGTCTAAATCATGTCAATTTCAAAAGTTAATAAATCATAGTCCTTGACTTTAAATTTTCTATCAACGATTATTTAGGGGAGCCCAGACCTGAATACATAAAAGAATACATCTTTAATTGTTACGAATACATCTTTAATTGTTACGAAGGTAAGTTAGTGCATTATTATTATACAGGGTGCTGGCGGTATTTGAGGGAATCCATATACGTGGCTGTAATTTATGGAAAACAATTTAGAAATAAACATGCAGTTATCCTCGCTATATGTGCGAAACACGCCTATTTAGAAAATCTCCAATTTTCTTAACTACATTTGTACATAAGTTTCGCCGTGAGTTGGAAGCATTACCTGGCGATGTAGAAACTGTTGCAAAACGCAAAAGACATGAGGAACATTCGGACACAACTAGAAATGTACAATTTGTCCAACAAGTGCAAGAGATGGTTCACGAAATCTCTTCAAACTCCAATGTGGGCTATTATTAATGTCTCTGAGGGTCTAATCCGTCAAGTTGCCCACGAGGTGCTATAATTCCTACGGTATGCGCGTTCAGTTTTTGCACAAACTCGGTAAGAAATTTTTTATGACCACATCACCCTAAACTTATGGCCTACCTCACGGGATCTTAATCCCTTTGATTATTATGTTTGGGGCGCAGTTGTGCAAAAGACCAATAAACATCCCCAAAACCTTATTTCATCGCTAAAGGGTGCTATAACAACCACAATGCTCAACATGAAGAAAGAGCATTTGCGGGCATGCAGTAGTTTCCGATCTCGGATTGAGTCTGTTATTACCGCTAATGGGGATTTTATTGAATAATTATATACTTTTTATAAAATTTTTGGATTCCTCCTGCGTCGGTTTTTGTTAAGTCGAACTAGCTAACTGAAACTGTTTCAGACAAGCTCTGAAGAAGCCAACAGGATGATTGACGAAACGTCAGCTAGTTCGACTCAACAAAAACCAACGCAGGAGAAATCCAGAAGTTCTATAAAAAGTATTAAAGTAGTCTGTGGAAGTTTCTTTGAAAAATTAATAATTATATAGTGTAAGAGTCAGTTATTTAAAAAATTAATGAAATTGTAATAAATTGTGCAATAAATGTGATTAAATACATTTTAAAAATAACTTTTACTCAAATATCGTCCACACCCTGTATTATGCAAGACATCTTAAACATAGCTATTTAGCTACTTTGATGCTTGTTTCTTATTGATAATGATCATGTCAAATCAGAAGTTGCAGAATGCTTGCGTCCGTTTTGTTATGAATATTCGGCAATATGATCGCTGCCTTCAATTGGAATCCAAAAAACATTTTAACACTAACTTATATAAATTTGCGATTCCCAATCGTGTATCATTTCTCATAAATACTTCCGACGTCGATTGTCCATATAAACACATGAAATATTTTTTGGTTAATGGTATTGAAATATATTGGTTTTTACTAGTTCAGTAGAGTAGCTATTGAAAGCTAGACTGCGCCACTTTGGAACAATATGTTTCTTTTGCATTATAATTGGTGTATATTAAATTCGCTATTGCCGAGAGGTATAGGTATCGTATTTGTTTTTGCCCCATCTATGTCAATATATATTTTATTTGTTTATTGTCCTCATACAATCATATGTTTGGTACATTGTTTAATTTGACCCATTCGCTTGGGTATTTCAAACCAATAAACAATAGCGAGTTCTTCGGTTATCTACATTTATCACATGACTCCAATTCAATTTGCAATAATAGAATAAAATATCCATAATACTCCGAACAAGATCGAAAATTGCGCAAGTGGCATGCAGATAATTATAGTGTCCCCTCATTAAAATGCTATTATTGGATATTGTAAAAAATCGATTAATAAAACCCACCATTCCCAAAATATATTTCGATTATTGTAAACATTCTGATAATCTTTGACTCATGAAAAGAATCAAACACGACGAAGACTCTTGGCAGTGTGACAAGAAATGGCAAAACAAAAAGTCGTGTTAGCTTATTCCGGCGGCTTAGATACAAGCTGCATCCTGAAATGGCTCATAGGCCAAGATTTTGAAGTAGTGTGCTATATGGCTAATATAGGCCAGGTTGAAGACTTTGAGGCAGCGAAGAAAAAGGCCTTAGGAATCGGAGCTTCCAAAGTAAAATCGCGACTTCAAAAAGTCCTCCTAATATTGAAACTATTTCTTGTTAGGTCGTAATAGATGATGTCAGGGAAGATTTCGTTCACAACTACGTTTGGCCGGCCATAAGCTATGGGTTATTGTACGAATCCCGATACTTGTTAGGCACGTCCCTGGCTAGACCTTGTATTTCGGTTGGTCTAGTCAAGTGCGCTCAAGAAAATGACGCCGCTTACATCTCCCACGGTGCTACAGGCAAAGGGAATGACCAAGTCAGATTCGAATTGTCGTGCTACGCGTTGTATCCCCGAGTTAAGGTACACTAAATTTTAATTGGATCAGCTAGGGTATTTTTGGTGGTTAAATAATGATCATTTTTAAAATATTGGACGTAAAGTCATCCCTTTTGTTAGCCACTTGTTTGTTATGAAATAAACCAAGATGCATATCATAACTTTTATCTAGAGAAAATGATATAGCGTTAATTAGATTCTTAGATTATAGCACCCTGGCGTCTCAAGGAATTCACGTCGAAATTTGAAGGACGACAGGATTTATTAAAGTACGCTTCCGAAAACGGCATTCCAGTGTCGGCCACTCCAAAAGCCCCATGGAGTACTGATGCAAATTTAATGCATGTCAGTTACGAATCAGGGATTTTGGAAAATCCTATCAATCCCCCGCCTAAAGATTTATTCGAAATGACAGTAGACCCCAAAGAAGCTACTAATAAGAGTACCAAGTTAGAGCTGGTATTCAAAAAGGGGTTGCCAGTAGCATTAAAGACTGAAAATGGAGAAACTTACGAGACGCCTCTAAAAATATTCAGCACGGTAAACGAGATCGGTAAAGTGCATGGAGTGGGCAGAATCGATGTCGTGGAGAACAGATTCATAGGGCTGAAGTCTAGGGGCGTTTATGAGACTCCGGGCGGTACAATACTCCATCAAGCGCATACCGATCTGGAAGTATTCTGTCTGGACAAGGAAGTGTACAGGGTGAAACAAAACTTACGTGATCGTCTCTCAGACTATGTTTATAATGGGTTCTGGTTTTCTCCTGAGGGAAATTATGTCCGAAAAGCTCTAGATCTCGCGCAAGAGACAGTAGAAGGCACTGTGAAAGTCGAGCTTTATAAAGGCTCAGGTGCTTGTAATAGAATGTTTATTGTTCAAGTGAATGAATTTGTTTTTCAGTTTATATTCTGGGCAGATCGTCAGAGGTATCACTTTATAATAAGGATTTGGTATCAATGGATCGGCATGCCGGTTTTAGCCCTGAAGATGCGACTGGATTTATAAACATACAGGCTATAAGGCTCAAAGAATACAATCGCGTGCAAAAGCAGAGACAGGCATAGATTTTCCACCTTGTGAAAATTAAATAATTTTGTTGCTATAAATAAGATGTTAAAAGATTATATCTAAGAACAGTATATTGTCATTTTTATCATAAGAACTATTGTCAAAATGCTTTATTTTGGGCGAAAACAAACTTAAACTTAAAAAAGGACGAAAATTAAACTATAATATGAAATATGCTATGTAAAAAATGGATATTAATAATTAAAAAAATATATTGGTGGTAAATAGTGTCTTTAACAGACTAATAAACAACAACCATAAAAAAATGGAAATTAAAAACGGAATAAAAAAAGACTACAATTCTACCTTTCTACTGAGACACCTTTGGGTGAAAAATTCGTGTTGAGTTTTTTCTTGTTTTTCCCTATTTGTCATTTTAAAAAAGTTTGTTATGGACACATTTTTTTGTGAGTCTTCTTCTTCAACATCTTCCCAATCAACATGGTATGCAGTTTCCTTGAGTGCATTCACTGAAGTAGCCCAACTAAATCGGACAAGTTGTGGATATCCAAACACTGGATCAGACTTATCAATCAAGAATTTTTTTACTACAGGATCTGAAAGGTTGTCAAATCAGTACAGCTTATGCCACTGAGTGTACCAAACTTCTTCCTTACCAGCCGGATATCCACTTCCAAACTCCCCAAAATCATTACCCTCTGGGAATGTCCATACACTTAATGAGTGATCTCTGGTAACTTTGGCGCATATACTAGCAGCTGACACAATAGGATAAGTCGAGTCAGCCTTCTTAGCGACAGTTATCTTAAGTTTCGGGAACAAGGACTTCAGATATTCTTGGTACTTTTCCGGCTTACCAACTGTGTCGACATATACATGCTCGATTTTAACCCCTTTGTTTAGGACCGCTTTTATTAGACCAATGGCAGAGTCCATTGACACTTGATTTAAAGAATACTTGGATCTGCTGAGCATACTGTTACAAATCGACATTGGAGCTATCACCTCCACCGCCCACCCGATTTTACCAGAATTTTGGCATATGTTACTAAATATTTGATTTCGTTTCTCTTCATTTAATGCTTTAGAATCTGCACACTCTAGAGTTTCGAGCAAAGTTTGTTCATTAATTGGGATAAAAGCAGTACCATATACCATGGGTCCTTTAACGATACATTTCATAAATTAAGAGGTTTTGGTGTGCTTAAAACCTTACTTACCAAATACGGGTCCCCTGCCAGCTTCATCAATGCCCAACAAGCAAGGGTGCTCTGTACATATTTCTGGAATCGGTGAAATATAGAAACGGTTTTGGGAATTATCGTGACTTTTAAGAAATTCGCTTAACGATTCCAAGTCGGAAATCCTCTCCTCCGGAGATTGTTTGTTCATGTTGCCGCTAATATATTTTCAGTAAACTTAGGTTAGGAATTTTATAAATTTTATTGGCCTAAACCGACAGGATATTAGGGCCAAATACAACCTAAACAAGTCTGAGAGCCTCGTCCCCTTGTATAGATATCTTTTTTAATTCATACGACCGCCAGGTCACTTCTGATTTCTCTTTAAAAACACCGAAATAAAATATTGTTCCTGGGATCCCCACAAGATACGTAATCCTAGTGGCGATTTTATAGTTCGAGCCCTTAAGTATAGTTTTGGAAGGTATATTAGTATAGTTTAGAAGTTAGTTTTTAAGTTGATATCTATAAAAAAATTATTCATTAAGTAAATTTAGTATCGTTTGTGATTCAGTGCCTTTATAGATGCATCTAAGCGTTCAACATTAAAGGAAAACCTTATACCGGTTTCAAATCCAAATACAAAATAAATTGCTCAGTTAATGGATGTTACTCAAGAAATATTAAATAACATTTATCGTAATAGATTTTGATGCGAAAATTGTATTCTTTAAAAGTACTTAACGTACTTCGCCTTAATTTCATAGCGACTTTTAATTTTGATAGATTGAAGGCATACTGTACAAACGTCCTTTAAGTTACCAGTTGCTGCAGTATATTCAATTAAAATTACAAATAATGCTTCGCCTTCTACAAAACTCATAATTTAAAAATGGATTTTATAGTAATTAATATCCACGCACTTCACAAACCATACACCACAAAAAGTGATAATAGAGCCAAATGCTTTATTGTCGCTTATTAGCGAAATTTCATAAAACAATAAAACTAATAGAATCGAAATCTAACAAGAGATCTCTGAAAACAAGCAACCCAAAAACATTATAAAAAAAATGTCTTCAATTCTGCAGGAATAAGCGCGTACTGCTAATGCAATAATTTACCATAGAGGTTTACTACCATAGAGGCTACTTACAAATTTATTCTAATTAGGCTATTAAAACGCGAATGCAAGAAAACGTAATTTCAATAACTGCGAGAAACGAAAATAACACGATTTAAAATGCTGAGGGCATCACAACGCCGCACATGTCGAATATGCGATACTATGGGTTGCGTTCTTCATTTATTTACTTACATACTAGTCGTGTGAAAACTGAACATCGCAACAGTGGCGAAATTTTTCGAGAAGGATGAAGTTATGTCCCATAATTTTCAGTATCATCGTCATCAACTGGGAATTGATCAATGCGGCTCACACGACCGATTTCGCCCTAAGCGAACCTGAACTTGATACCAAAAACGAAGGTAAATTATTAATATTGTTTTAAATATCTTGTACCTGAACAATTATCAACGATGAGAAGTTTCTTCTATTTCCTTATAACCTGGTATCTCTATATACAATAATCTCTGTTCTAAAGCCAACATTTTTCTTATTTTGACAAATACGTAACAATTATGAAAGGTGCAATCAAATAAAATAGGTGATAATTGTTTTAAATCAAAATTTTGAAATTTCAAATTTAATGCGATGTATTTTGAAATTGAAACCAACATTTGCATTTAACATTTGGTGTTTAAGCTTTAAACAAGATCACTTTGTATAATTGTTAGGAAATTTTATATTTTTGTTTTTTTTTTTCGCACAAGTATACAAACGATTGTTATTTTTAAAGCAAGAAAAAACTCTTGTATTAAATGATTTTGCATGTTTCACTTTTTACTCTCTTTGTCCCCCTGTCTACTCTATAACTAAAATATATTTAATAAAATATATATACTATAAGCCATTTAATTTTTTAAAAAATTAATAATTATAATAAAGTATATATATATAAAGTATTAATTAATGCAGAAAAGTGTCCTTAGTGATTATTTTCGGTGTTTCTAATGAACATTTTTTATCCGGATTGTTATCCGTAGCGACGCAAATCCAAAACGGAACCGAGAACGAAATCAAACTATTGGGCGACAATTTCGCATTCTCTCTAAACCTGCAAGTGATTGAAAATATCGTAAAGAAGATAGAAAACGAAAAATGCGTGCGCGACATAAGGATATCTCTAAACTCGCTAGTGGAGGGCGAAGTGTGGGCTTTAAAAAGTAATGCGCACTGCAGCGGATGCACCTTTACTCTCATGCATTGTCAATGTTTTAGTGTTCGACTCGCTTCCAAAATTTCCATCGGGTTTGTTAGACGGCAACCTTTTTGTAATGGGGAATTTCCACGAATGTGTGGAAACCGAATGGCGCCAATCTAACTCAACTTTTTCGGGCCAGTATTGTTTAGCTGAGGTTTATTTCAAATTGTATAAGGATAATGGTGGATTATTTCGCATGGATCCGAATCTTTCTCAGGTTTAGAAAAAGGATATAGCATTTTATATATGGTCGGATTGAGTAGAGAGCTTTTCTAGCACGTCCGGATGAGATTCAACTCCAGCGTCGTCCACTGGGGTATGTGCGCGCCGTCCTCCTGTACACCGACCGACGTCAAGGTGTTCGTTGAGGAAACTTTTTCTATTGTTGACAGTTTTGAATCTCTACGTGCGAACGTTAATGATAAAAATTGCTACGCTCGAAGGGAGACGCGCATAACAAACGGCGAAATCATTTACGCGTGAGTTTTTGACATTATAGAACCGGCAGAACTGATGACTAGTACAGTTCTGTTTCCTATCATATCAACGCAAAACCTGAAAAAAATTTTTTTTGAGCTATAAGGTCAAAATTAACTGGAGTCAAAAAAATTCCCAGAGAATGCTACCTGACGTGTGATTAATTTGAAACATTGCATTTTGCAATTAATTTATTAATTAAAGAAATAGTTTAATTATGCTATCTTATTTATTATTATTTTTTTAATTTATTATTTTTACTTTTTATTTATTATTTCTTCGATTATAGTTGGCTACCAACGTTTTTATTTGATTTGATTTTTAATCAATTAAAAAAACTAACCAAAGCTATTTGTTCAGAATTTTTTGTGAAGGGCTTTTCTTCAATAATACGTAATTGGTTAATTCAATTGAGTCACCTTGTAGTAATATATAAATTTAAGAAAGTAAAAACACCCGATAAATTTTATAATGTAATAACCATTGCTTAGGAATATGGATTTTTGACAAAAATTTGAAATTTAACTTTGAAGCTAATAAAGAAAGAATAGTTCTAGGCCAGATAGAATACAACTATATATTTAATTAGAGATTTAAAATAATTACATTCCCAGATATCATTCTAGGATGCTTCATCCATTACCAAATACAAATTGATACTGGTTTTGGTTGGCAAAAATTTGAAGTGGAACTTTTTTCAGCTAATAAAGAAGGAATAGTTCTAAACCAGATAGAATACAACCATATTCCCGACATATAAAATAATTAGATTTCCAGATCTCACTCTAGGATATTTTAACCATTCCCCAATACAAACAAAATAAAACCAGTTTCAGTACTCATTGTTTTAGGTCTCTTATAGGTCTAGTTTTTCTATTTGCGATAATGTCGACTACAGTACATTACTGGCAAATACATCGACGAAAAAGAAGCGCAGTTTACAACATAGACGGGTTACGAAGAGAAATCTCCACTGCCAACGAGATCATCTTATGTTTCTCCATAATAAGGGTGGTTAGGAGTCTGCTTCGTACGAAACCCAATGAGTTTAACCTCGAGTGCATATGCGGCATTAAGTTCTTGTCGATGATGCTGATCATCGCAGGTCATTCCTTGATTTTTATATTAGGCGGCCCGATTTCGAACATCAAATTCATCTCGAAAGTGAGCCCGATGAATAAAAAAAAAACAATATATTATCAGAGCATATTTAATTGCAGGAGTATACCGACCCTTTAAATGGAGTACTGGTTAATCCTTTACTAGTCGATACCTTTCTGCTGGTCAGCGGCTTTTTAATGTGCCGACTTTTATTGGCGGAACTCGATAAAAGAAATGGTAAAATAAACATATTTGTCTTATACATTACTCGATACGTGAGGTACGTCGTATTCGCGAATCTTATCCATCGCTTCTCAGACTCTATTTTGCAGGTTAACTCCAGCTTATTTGGTGATTCTAGGCTTTTATTTAACTTGGATGTCTAGATTAGCGGAAGGCCCTCTATGGAACAAAACCATTGTCACCGAAAAAGAAAAATGTCAGCAATCATGGTGGACCAACCTGTTATATGTTAACAATTATATTAAAACCGACTCATTGGTCTGCAGTATTAATTGTGGTAACGAACTGGCGGACCAATGTATTAAAAATTTTAGTGCATGTTCCAATCATGGTATTTGGCAGCAGACTACCATTTATTTGTTCTATCCCCATGCATTATTTTTCCCCTGTGGAGGTGGAGAAAAGTTGGGAAACTACTACTAGCAATAATCATGCTTGCTTCTATATCGTTGCCGTTCTATATAACTTATATTGGAAACTTGGACCCTACTTTGTTAGCATTTCCCCCGTAATTAACGCAAACGGTTTATTTTTTCAAGTTGTATTTAAAACTTGGTTCTAGAGAAATCCAAGACATATCGTCAAATAAGTATTTCTTAACCGCTTACGTCAAAACGCATATGCGAGCCAGTTCTTACTGTTTCGGACTACTTCTTGGTTACATAGTGTATAGAATCCAATCGGCAGAGTAAGATTTTAAAATTTAGAATTGTCCAATAAGGGTTTTAGAACAATCGTTACAGGACCAAAATTTCCAATATTATAATGTGGAGTGTTTCAATATTGGTAGGAGCAATATGTTTAGCCAGTATGCTCTCCATAGTCATATTTTTCAGTCCCACCCACACAGATAGCAATATGGAAAACGCAATATATGCGGCGCTTCATAGAGTGGGGTGGTGCTTGGGAATTGGTTGGATCATACTTCTTTGTGTGACCGAACATGCAGGCATGTTGACTTGTTTCCCATCTAGCTCGAGATTAAAATATATTGATTTTAGAACCCATAGCTAAATTCTTATCGTGGAAGCCATTTGTAACACTCAGTAGACTGACATACTGCGCGTATCTAATAAATGGCTTTATTGTGATTTATGATAAGGGTGTAATTAGGGACACCATCTATTTGGATAAATATCAACTGGTGAGATTACATTGGTATGCATTTTCATAGGTAACTTTTGATTTCGTTTACAGAGTTGCAAAATTTTGGGACATCTTGTCATTACATTTTCAGCAGCTTTCTTATTGTGCATATTTTTCGAATCTCCGATCCATGGACTGGAAAAACTCATGCTGAGTATGCAAAATTCTATTGAGAATACAAATTGTTCACACACTCGCAAATTTTAAAATGCTAATTATCACTTTTATGCTTTTAGAAAAGTTTTCCAACTCCGCAGTTACTAAATAAATATGAAGAAACCTAAACAGCCGCTAATATCAATACCACCTGATAGTATTTGGTTTTAATATTTAAGAAAGAAATAAAAATTGGCATATTTTTATTAACAATTCAACGAATTTTCAATGAAAATTGAAAAGTACACAGGAATAATAAATATTATATTTACTTAAGGAAAATGCTTTAATTTGGCCTAAATCTGAAAGCTTGGTATTACTCCCACAATTAAAGCTAATTTTGCTGCACCCATACCCATGGGACCAGCAGGGCTCTGTAACCTGTCATCATCTGGCATCATCTACAAAGTAAGGTGGGTAATTTTTTTTATATCTCTGTAACACTCCCCACCTTTTCCGCCACATGCTTAAAAATCACTCCATCAGAGTTCACATAAAACACAGAAAATCCGTCATACCAACTAAAAGCAACAGAAGATTTAATCTCATATTTTGTCTTGCCATTAATGAAAGCATGAGGCTACATACTTTTCACTCTTCTCAATAATTTCTTTGGACCTCCATACTTTGACTTTCCAAAATTTCAGCATCACATACAGTGCTGAAACACCCTTGATCCGCCACCTCACCTTTATGGTGCCCTCTTCTGGATGTTGTGTAATTTTCAATATGTCAAAATTAACATAGGCAAATTTAAAGTGCCCCACTGTTCTTAGAAATGCAACTTGTTTTGCATAATTATACAAGCCTCTAAAAAATATTTTCAAAATAGCTTAAAATCCTATCTACAGCAAAGCAGAAAATTGACACCCAACATGAATATTACTAACATAGCCCTAACTAATTGGTGCCTACTTTGTGCGGATGTGTCTTATATTATCCTCAAATACAATATCCTTATGGTAAATTGTAAAATCAAAGGTCTTGTTAAAAAGATTAGGTAAATCGTTAGCTAGAACATCATGCACATGTCTGAGTTTTTCTGGCTGAGGTTTTCCTTCTTGAGAGCTGGTACCAAAGAGGTTCTCTTCTTTTGATGCATCCGAAAATCTAAAATTATTTAAAATTATAAATTCAATAGTTATATCTTACCAAATGTGTTTACCCTAAACTGCTAGAAGATTTTTTTGTTTGTTTGTCATAATTTTCTAACCTAAAAACAGGTTCTCGTTTAATAAAGTCACTCAGCAGTTCCCTGTTGTCTTCCAAAGCATTACGAATAGGTCGGACATCGAAGCGGCAATTTACTTCAGGGCACTTCGGAGTATGCAATTCTAAATACTGAAAATACAAGGAAATTAGGTTAGTACACTTAGATAATATCAAATTAGTATTTATCTAAACAGGTAATGAATTGCTAGATTCATTTGTGGCTAGCTAAAGAATTACACATAAAATTAGAAAGGAATGTTTAATTTAAATATTCACCTGCTCGTGGCTTAATAAGCTGCGTCTCAAACTGCAAATACGACGACAATTTTGAAGACGACGTGAGGAAATGTAAAAATTGCAGATTTTATTTATGTTGCGGAAAGTCAAAGCCATTTTAAGAAATAATTAAGGTTTCCAATTTTTCCTAAAATAATAAATATTTTAAAACCCCTGGATATACCAAGGTTAGGATGTCCATAGATAAAGTACTTCTGCGATTTTACGGACCGGGATTAATCGTATCACCTGATACGTAGTATGAATCGTACTTATACAAAGGTCTTTAACTAACCACAACATTATTGGTTAGTTCTAAACCGACTGGAACTTAACAAAGATGGGGGACTTTTATATGGAGCACGATGATATAATTTTTATAACTACTTTTATAAGATTGGTAGCAAGGAGTTAACTACTAAACAGTTCTATTCTAGCCCGTAGTTGCGTTCATAATACATTTTACATTTTTGGATATGGTAATTTAGTTTTAACATAATGGTGTAATAGTTTTGTAAAAAAGAAGAAGTTCATAACCTCATAATTTTCCAAGTTATAGTACCACAAATATGCACAACATATTCTTTACTTTTATACGGATTATAATTAATTGTTTATACAGATAGGAGAGGCTAATTAGTTTTATAATTATGTCGCTGTCTATCAGTAATCTTCAAAGATGCAAGTTTTTTTTAAAGCGCAAAAAGAGGAATTGCAAAATGTTGGTGAGCACAGGGGAAGAATTGTGCGCTGAACATCAGATCCACTCAAAAAATACAGAAGATGGTAAAATTAGAATCCCGTGTCCTCTAGATAAAAAACAGTAATTCTTTTAAGACAGCCTAGAATTTCAAGTAATATAAATAATTTGTAGTACAGTTTATGCTCATAAGCTAAATAAACATTTAAAAATTTGTAATGCCCGAGAAGGACCTAGTCAGTCCTTTATTAAAAAGGATATAAATTCAGGCAAGCATGAAGAAGAAAGTGGGATCTCAGACCATCATAGATCTTTGTCTGAATTTGCTGACACAGATATTTTGAAAGTAATTGCAAAAGTTAATATTGTGTATAATAGTATGTAACCTAGGAATTAACATTTTCACAGAAAAATCAGCATTTACATTTCAGAGCATATAAAAGGGAAAATAACAACAAAAATATCGACTCATGAAGTTGTAGATGGTCAAACAAAGTCTGAGTATGGTGATAAAACAATTAAGCACTTAAAACAAGCATCTTCAATTTTGGGTTTATTAAACAAATACTGTTTGTTAAAGGATAATACATGTTTTATAGAATTTGGTGCAGGGAGAGGTATTTATTGTACTGTTTTCAACTGCTTTGTTATTATCTATGTTATTTAGGCCAGCTTAGTTACTGGATAGCTGAGGCGACTCAAACTAGTAACTTTACCAAACTGCTTTTGATTGAAAGAGCTTCCCCAAAACATAAACGAGACAATAAACTGAACAAATCCACTGGCAAAATTCAAAGAATTCGAGCAGATATTAAAGATGTAGTTTTGGATGATATAGAAATCATGGGTGATGCAAATTCAATTGTAGGTGTAACCAAGCATTTATGTGGAGAAGCCACAGGTAAACTGACGAAATCTAAAGCTTTTGGTTATAAAATTTCTTTTAGATTTGGCTATTAGATGTATGATTAATGCAGAAAAATTAAAAGATAAAATTAGAGGGTGCCTTTTAACCTTCTGTTGTCATCACAGATGCCAGTGGACTGGATTTGTAGGGAAAGAATTTTTTCAGGTTAAATTTTATAGTTTTCGATTTTTTAAAAGATTTTATAATTAATTTATTTTAAGGCGAACAACTTGATTGGACAAGATTTTGAAATTATCTGTGGCCTCACTAGCTGGGCCACTTGTGGTAATACCCACAGCAGGGAGTTCGAACAAGAATCATTTGATGGAGATACTATTAAAAGGTAATAAAATGCTCATGGAACTGATGTTTTATTAATATTTTGACTTCAGGATTAAATTGGATCTTGCTAGAGAAAGTGTTGGAATTAATAAATCCCTTATCAATTCAAGGTTTGAATTTGTTGTGTATATCTAAATATAATTATTGTGTTTAAGTATTATTTTAGAGGCAATGCAGTAATTAATGAAGAGTATGAACATGATAAATCTACGACTGGATACAATGAGAATGAGAAAAAGAGGTATGTTGGAAGAATTACTGTTTAGAAAATATTAGTTTGTTTTATTTCTTTCTTCAAGCCACGAAAAGATCAATCTATCGCGAGGGGAACAGGAGGAGATTGGAAGGAGATGTAAAAATATTATCAATTATGGGAGACTGCAATTTCTCCAAAAGCAGGGGTTTAGTTGTTTTTTACATTACTATGTTGACCAGAGTGTTACTTTAGAAAATGTTTGCATTGTTGCGAAAAAAATTGAATAAATGTTTTGCGAAAAATTGGTGTTTTATAATACTGCCTTTGCCTCGGTTAACACGAGGCAAGCGGCAAACAGTCCATCTTTTTTTGCGATTTTCCTCTGTTTTTCGTACATCGCCATAACTAGAAAGCTGCGATTCAGTTGTCAGTTTCTTCCACATAAATATATAGCCCATAAAGAACAGCAAAACTTTCTTATTTAATGTTTTTACATATTGTACAAAATGTTCGGGATATTTCATGCTATAATATAAAATAAAGTATTTGTCTTAAATGCGTAGCCCTCGACTTCAGATTTGGCAGAGATGTCCATGTCGATACCCACATTTAAACTTTAGAAGTTGGGCGCAATCAAAAGTTGCGAAGTATTTTTGAAATTTTTTGTTGTGGTTATTTTTGCTTCCAGAAAAAAATAATTTTCTCGAAAACTATCTATCCGATCGGCAAAATTCTTGGACCAGGATATTCTGGAGATCCGGGATCATAACTTTTATTTGAAGTGTTTTTTCGATTATATACAGGGTTTTTCAATTATGGACAAAAATCTAAAAAAGCCTAAAAATTGTTCTTTCCCATAATAAATTATGGCTAATTGGTTTTGCATTTATTATAGAACGCTTCAATAGCTATAATTTTTGCATTTACGGTTTTCGTCTATCACATACGCTGTTCCAGATGTTAGAAAAAATGCAAATGAAAATTACCATTTCTCGCCGTCAATCTAGACGCGATGATGTCATTTTCTTTTACGACGTACTGCAGGGTTTCAGAAGTATGTTCTCGAAAACCAGGACAAGTGGGAGATCCATGGCTATGACCTCTATTTTTTGTGGATAAATTATTCGCGATAAATAAAAAACTGTTATATGTAGATGGCATAATTTTATTTGAACGGTATCGTAAGCTGTATCGAGGGCGAGTTGCAGTTTTCGTCTAACGCACGGTGAGCGAGATATTTGAAAAAATATCGTTTTAAAGCGCAATTACCAGTGATTTTGCGAAAGTTCCATAGTGGTCTGCAGGAGCACGACAGAAATACAATGCGTCCCTCCAGGAGAAAATAAAAAATGCAAAACTGTGTAGTGACTTTATAGACTACGAAGTGCATAGTATGGAGCAGACGCTCCTCAAAGCCATGATTTCTCGAAATTAATTTTGTCTAAATCAGTTAGTGCGACAAAGCCTTTTAATTACAACTTGATACCGCTCGATACTGAAAATCTCGAATCTATCTGTAACTAATTATTAATCAACCATATAGCATAGTTTTCATTTTGTTTAAGATTAAAATTAGATAACCTGTATTATTGCGCTGGAGGCTGCGATAAAAGATACAAAATCGCTGGCCTCGGTCGATTGCAACATTACGCACGTTATTTTGGATGATTATTTTATATAAACTGTCTAAAGTACAAAATCTACTAAAGTTATTTGGTCGCGTTCTTACGTCGTCTCCTTAAAATAAAAACGAGGAAATGCAAAATTAACGACGCACGCAAAGATTTGTTATCTGTGCATTCCTTTTCCGAACGGCCTTCAATCGAAATGTCCCTAAATTGGATAATTACATATCGAATTGTGTAAATGCAACTAAAACGGCCGCCGTTTCTAGCCTTAATTGCGTTATTTAATCTGTTAAGGGCCGCCTACACACGTGTTTTGAGAAAATGCCGAATAATTTAAGTGATGAAGTCACATCGAGATGCCTCGGTCGCGGTAACGAACTTAAAAATGATGAGCTTCCACCTTCTTATGAAGAAGGTCCCTCTCGAATAATACACAAGAATAAGTGTTTAGTATTTTTTAGAAAACACAGGGTTTGTTATAGGCAATATCAAAAACCGGCAAATTTAAAATTAGTAGGGCTTTTGTGGACAGTCACAATTTAATTTCGAATTAAATAAATAGGAAACCCTGGTGTTTTAATCAATATCGTAAATTCAATTTTTTACCTAATTTTTAAAGCTTTTGTTTTCAAATATCACAGATCCCAAGGTAGGCCTATATTTAGCTAGAAATTTTGTAACGCGTAAATTTGTTTGCACAAAATTGTTTGTTTGATATTGCCATATATTACTAAGTTGACATTATAAAACATGATGTAAATAGGCGCGAGATGGGCTCTAATTGAGCGGCGCTCAAAATTGGGTCAAACAGTATTTAAACGATATCGCGCGGTTTACATGAAAATCGACCAATTAGGGTTTATTGAAGTTATGCAGAGTTTGCGCTAAGCATATTTCGGGATCGTTACGCAGACCGTCGAAAACAAAAAATGGAAAGCAAGAACCTGTTCCAAATTCAAATAAAACGTTCTGGTTGGTTGAACAAGTTAACGTTAATAACGTGCTTTTCGTTTCTTAACCAATAAATAAAGATGGTTAATTGTGGCCGCGCTTGTTTTACTTAAGCGTACGCTAGTGCTAGTGCGTGACGGTTGAAATTACTAAATTATTTTTTAAAGCCTATTCTATGATTTACCGTGCAACTGGGAGAATGCATATATCGAGTGACTCAAAAAGATTTATTTTAACAGTATCACATTCCTGTTACTTGTGTCATATCCGAGTTATTCATTCACGCCATTATTATGGCCAAAACTTAGTTTTCAGAAAGCTGTACTTGTGGGACGTGGAAAGTCCTGTTATAGCATTAAAAAAAAATTACGTTCATGCTATACAACAGGTTGTCCCAAATGTGTCAACCTTAAGGTTTTTAAAGTAATTTGAATTTTGTCAAAATGAAACCTAACTTTAAGTTCTAAAAAATATATTAGAAGTATTTAAGGTATATAACGAAACCTACAGTAAAGTGTAACCATAGGGTATATCTGAATCATATACAGGGTGGTCAAAATTTATCCTGATCTAATAACATCTTTAAGTGGCTAGTTTTTAATCACCAATAGAATGCTTTAAGTTGCCTAAGATATTGTCTGAATAATTTTTTAGTGTATCTAGTGGTCCATGGTATTTAGAAACGATAGATAATTCATTCAAGTATTCAGTTTGGTCTGGTTATGCTGAAGACTCTGTTTATTGGATGTTATGTGAATTTAGATATTTTATAATTTCATTCATGGTTTTCTATTTTCTTTGATACTTTGTTTCGACTTGGCTTGTTTAAAACCCAACGGGTTCAGGTAAGTAGATACTATAAACAATAACATGAAAAATATATAACATTAAAAAAAAAAGAACATAATTTGACATAATTTAAATACTTCTTATGCATTTGACAAATTATTCAAAAGTAAATTAAAACTATTTTAAAAAGTAGCCACAATAGGACCTCACATATCCCAGAAGTTTTTGGCCATAATTTACTGGAACTTACATTATTTGATACATGGGACGTCCAATGACAATTATAGATAGATGCTATTTGTACATACGTACCTTAAAAGCATGTATTTGTAAAGAGAAGACGTATCAACAGAAACGATACAACTAATATATTTTTGTATATGAAGTAGTCCAAAAATTCTTGAAGTTTTTATTTTATATAAATGTAATGTATTATGGGTTTAATGGGTGAAGAGTGCTAATTGTATAATTTTATTGTTAAAACTAAATATAATATAATAATATAAATATAAAAAATTTACGATTTTCAGCAATCTACGTGTTGTTAATTAAAAATAAGTTCTCCAATTATTAAAATTAATTAATTTAACAATAAACATGTTCAAAGTAATACAATAGATCGACTGTAGTTGTCATTATAACAAAAGTTTGATTAGCCAATCCTTATAAGAACCCAAATGTATTTAATAACTGCAAACATCACCAATATTTGTTTGAATGGAAGAGTATTTGTTCCAATCAAACAAATACTGTGATGTTTAAAATCGCATGATTTACTTTTTGCGAAACAAATGACGTGGTATTTTCAGTTGTCCCATATGGCACTGTTAGCTTAGATGGACGTAATTATCTGGACTACTAACTAAACTGGATAGGCTGTTTGAGGTTAAACGAGATTACGGCATCAACACACTAGCAGCTTGGTCTATGTCCGAGATCAGCTGCGACGGCCAGATGTGGATATGTAAAGTAAAAAATGAAAAATAATTACTGAAATCTGACGAATATATACAAAAGTTTTCTTTTCAAACACGTTATATCAAATACGTCAAGGTTACTATACAGAAGCTTGGTAACAGATGCACTACAAAAGTTGCTACAAAGACGCCATCGTAAGTGAATCTCTTGGTAGTTGCAGATGGCCAGAAGCAAAACGCGGTTGTTTTAAATGCCATAAACTCTTAAATTGCGGCGATAAAAACGGACAAATTGACACCGCTAACTGATCGTAAATTACGCCAACATGCGATGTCGTTAGAGGTTCTTGTGGACGAATATTATTTAATATTGAGATGCATGCCACCACTCGAGATACCATATACCCAGTGCATTTGCGAATTTTTAAAGAGACCCTTGAACATTCTCATGATCCAATTCAGATTGTTCGTTTTAGCTTGTTACAAACGAATGCAAATACAGGAACTCCATTTTAAGTATGCTCTCCGCGTACCGCATCGCAAATGCTTTATTAGAAAATTCCGAAAAAATGCCTTTTTTATTGAAAGAGTCACTCCAACAACTCATTCCAAAGTGTTGGAAAAATCTATTATTTTAATAGAATTATTCATTCTATACATTGTGGCTAGTTTTATAGCATTTTTCGATTCTGCGTTTAAAATTCTAATGTATATTTTAATAAAGTTTATCTGAGTTATCTTTCAACCAATTAAAAAGAAGAAAACTGTTCCTTCATAACTTTTAGAAGTTATGGAATAGTTATGTTTGAATATGTCCAAAACAAGAACAATTATTATTATTTAAATTTTTCAGAATATTAAATTTCCTTGAACAGTAAGAAAGAACATGAAAAGGAACTGCTCGAAATGTTGCCATTTCCACTTACATATTTTGCGCGCGCTCTTGTAATTTTGTGTATTGTATAAATTATTCTATTCCTTGTATGTATTTACGAAAATGCTCCATGAGTGGCGTTATAAAAAAATCCCATATGGATAGATCGAGAGATCTCGGAGGTAATCGAATAGGTGTGTGTATCCCAGACTATGTCGAAAACTTATCCGGTTGGAAAAAGATTTCATTTAATTCAATTTTTTCTGCTTATCTAGATTAGATTGTGACAGAACTCTATATATTCGAAAGACTTTAAGGCTGAGGTATCATTGAAACTCTTATTTTGATCGTAGAATTAGAAAAGGATATAATAGGCAAAGAATGAACAAAAATAAAGAACCCTTAAACCCCTACTTCGGCCACTTTATGAGAAATGAAAAATGTCGAATACTCCAACTTATAACGCAGGGACGGCTAGAATCTAAAAGAGGCCCTGGTAGGCGCAGAATCTCATGGTTTCACAACTATAGGCAGGAAAAACATCTGTCCATTTGTTCAGGGCGGCAGTAGACAAAATTAGATATGCCAATATTATCGCCAACGTCAACAAACTAGAAGAAGAAGAAGACAATATCCAGCAGGTTGCATTAAAAAAATACTACTTTGACAGATTTGATACTCTTGTGAACAACCCGCCTAATTTGAAAGTAATTTTAAAAAGTAACTAATAATTAACCCTCACATATCTCCAAAATAAAACGTTTTGAAAACCATTTATTTTGTCCAAAATATAAAGTATAGAATATTTGCTTTAACAAAAAAAAGCAAGCAATCTTGCGCAAGCAAGATTTTGTTTGTATCTTCTAATACTTGGTTTAACTTTCTTTATTCATATTTGTGATATTGATACCTACTGATGAACATTTACAAAAATTGTTTAGGATTTTAACGGATTTTAAGATCTAGAAAGGTTAGAATTCGTTAAAAATTTTCCTTTTAAAATCTCAGCGGATTTCCTGAAAAAAGTAAAGGAGAGCTATTCGCGTTCTGGGTCGCCGATTCTATTATACCCACTGTCCCGCCAAGCACTTGGAAATTTTAGTCAATCGGGGAACTTTGTTCCGAACGATTAATACATACGTAACATGTCAAGTTCTGGCTAGTGAAACTAGCGGCATCTCGAAAAGCTCTGAATATTGCCGGTCTGAATGGTGTTCCCGACAAGTACCTACACATACACACAATGAATTTTTTGTGCGGCACTCGAATGAAGACTTTGACGACGACAAGTGCGGCCCCACTAATGATCAAACATGCGCTTTAAGATCAACGTGCATAGATTAATTCCACTATAATATGGGAGCCCACTATTATCAGTAGAAGCCGCGTTTTTAGCTCGGCTCTGAGCTGGTCCACGCAGCAGTCTCGTCTCGCAATTGTTGCCTTCGTCACGCCGCTTCTTCTTATCGACTTCTTGCGTCCGGTCCGCTTGTGTATTTCGATATCGTCCACGGCGAGTCCGACGCCATCCTGCGGAAGGACACGATGTGCCAGTGACGCGAAACGTCGGTGCAAGTAGTGTAAGAACTCGCGCGGATTTCATTTTGTCACCGGCGATTCCCGTAAGTAATTTTGTCTTCAAAGAAACGGAGATTAAATCAACAGTAAAACCTTTTTTTTTTCGGTTTTCTGTTAGATTGCGATTATGATCACTTTCGAGTAAGATTACTGATGAAAAATAGTTTCAGTTTCAATGATATTTTTCGTTAAAAGAAAGCTCGCGTGTTGTCTAGCAACATAAATTTGATGACAGAATAATGAATGGACCAGAACTATCTTATTGATAAAATAAAATCACGTTATACACACATATGATTGTTATAACTTGTTTGCTTTGGCAAGCTGATTTCAAAATTTTCTCCCTAATATTCACCTAGATATTCAAGCATGTGGATTATTTATTATTATTTGTTTAGAATTTAGAGTCAATTTTTATGCAGTTCTTACTAGGTGACGGTGATCAGTGTAATTTATAAATAAGTCGTCGGTCACTTCTACTGCTTTGGATAAGCTCAATTTTTATAGTTGCAGAATTATTGGTCCAAGTAGAAGTGGAACATTTTTGTACCAATCTTTCGCACTTTGTTTTTTCAAAATGGATTTGGGAAGTAACCAACGCGACGATCTTATGGTTTAATTTAGTTTTTGTGAGAGTAAATTTAACAATCTGTGGCAAATAGATTATTAAAAAATTACTTTAGCTAGGTTGATAAACATGTGTCCGAAAACGATTCCTTCAGTACATACGGTTCTGTAGAAAGGGCCCCAAAAACAGTTTTTTTTTTTAAATTATTTCTGGAGCGGTTTAAGATAGCCAGCTGAAATTTAGACTACAAATACCTTTTATTGGGTCATACAATTTTATTATATTGTACACGAGCGTCTCGAAGGAGCGATGGCACTTATTTTGTAACCAAACTTCTGTTAACGGTAATATTTTTAATCTTTCGAGCAAAAATAATATTTTTTAAACAGTTTCCACTTTTCAAAGTAAAAAACAATCAGGTTTTGGAGTTATTTCACGTTTTAGAAATGCTGTCCGAATTAATAAATGAAGCAAAAATATTGCAAACTTTGAACTAAATATTGTAGTCGCAACTTTTATGACTCAATCAAGGGTATTGGTGGTCTAAATTTTATTTGAGTATCTTAAACCAAATCAGAAACAATAAAAAAAACAATTAGGGACCCTTTTACAGAACGACATGCTTATTCGTCAGACTAATATTAATCTATGTACCCTACCGATATTTGAAACAGCCTGTATATTTTACAGTTTACACAAATAGTAGTTTATAAAAAAAAATCACTTTTATTAAAATTTTCATAAATAAACTGCTGTATATGGCCTCCCTTAGTAACTATAAGAGTTTTTAATCAACGCGGCGCGATAGTAATGAGATTTCTTGGTGTACAGTGCAATTCTTTTACTAATATCCCATTCCCCCTAATTTATATTACAGCTTTTGTTCGACTTATTCCAGATTGGGGCTTTTCGCGAGCCACTAGTCTGGCGCAATGGGTGCTAAAACATTTCGCCATCTCAATCCACCCGGGAAACACGGACGTCTTTATATTGAAACCTTTGGCTAGCCTTTTTCAACACTCTTTCCCTTTTATCCAAAATTTTTCAACCAAATCTTATTTAAGACCCCTATCAGATTTTTTAGCAAGATTTAACTAATATTTTTTCCACTAAAATGAGAAAGTAGTTCTTGTCTGGGTAAAGAAATGGAAGTTATGTTAATAAAAAGTGATGGTAATAAAAAAAACCAGAACAACTGTCCCAATATGATGCCAAAAGCAACTTCTTTATAAAGTAAATTTTGATTTTCCAGAGTCTTCTAACGTCGCACCTAAAAGAATAGCCTACATTGAATAAATTAATGATTTGCCAAAGACTGATGAGTAAACGCTAAAAAAATTATACAAGTTGTTAGGTTTTTAACTACTTTTTCAGGTACAACTTAAAGCTTATCTGGAGATTTCGAATGAAAGCAATTATTTTATTATAAAAGATAGTTTTAAATTTTTTCCTGCACTGCACTTACCGCAGTAGCTTTAATGTCTGGACTCCTTCGCCTTTAATTGCCAATTATAAACAACGTCCGATGTCCATGGTAAAATTATTGCACTAACGAAGTAATTTAAACCTACTTTTGACCCAATTTTTAGCATACTTTGTTGACGTAGCAGGAAACATAGCAGATTTTACGCCGATTTTGCGAGATAACTGGCGCTCAGGCTAATCTTGTCGTCGTAGAAGTAAATATTCTCGATGTTGTTCGTTCTACCACCTCGTTCAAAAGTAAAGTCGTTCGACCTGGAAAGGTTTACCCAGGAGAAATTAATCAAATTCGTCTGAAATTTAACACGGTGTTGAGCAAGAAGGAGCTTTGTGTGTCAGGACGATAATGCTAAAGCTACCGATTTTTAGATAGCTGTAAAAATGGGGACGTGTGAAATGCGATAAGTTGCATATTCGCGGATTTAAAGGATTAAAGCTCGACGGTATGAATATCGATGGATATTTGACTATTTTCGGGACCGATATTTAATTCAAAAATCGCTTATTGGCAAAATGTCGGCAAACATCGCGGGAGGCGGCAAACGACACTTATCGGACTCATAAACTTCCGCAAGTTTCGCATTGAAATATTATCGTGGTCGACATCCGGACCCGATGATGTGTACGACCACCATTACCGAAGCACTAAGTAGAACAAAAAAAAAATCGCCGTTCTTGAATGCTCTCCTACAAAATTTGCAAAAATATCCAAAAAATTGTTGCAATTTAAGAAATTTAAGTCTGAAAACGATATAAGTAAAAAGATAGAAGGCAAAGTGAATTGTGAAGTAAAGAAAGAAAAAGAAAAATGAAATTATGTTGTTTTCTATTAATCTTTAACAAAAATTTTATTTCATAATTCAGTCGGAAATACATTGGTGGGGGGTGGCGTCACTATATAACAGTGGACTTGAAAATTTAAGATTGAATTCGTACCTAAGACTGAAAAACATAGAACAGTTACGGAGGTACTAGGGTAATATAATTTTCGAGTTCCAGCAGACCAATATTAGTGTTATTTCATTTTTATTGGAATTTTTTCTTTATTCAATACTATAATCTTTCCCTTAAATATATTTTTTGAAGGGCCGATTACCCTTTTCATAACACATAGCCAATAAATTAGGCACTAGTATACTCTATTCATTATTAGCTTATTTTATATTTTTTTAAAGTTTTTATTGTTCTGTCACCAAACAATTTAGAAGTTATATTCTAAAAATGTGGGCGTTACTTGCTTTTTTATCTTGCCATCATAATAAATTGAAATCACAGATTGCCAAAAAAGTCTGATAAAATATCATTTTTGCAGATTTACAACAACATTATAATTACTTTCATAATTTTCATACAAAAGGTTTCGAAGCTGAAGAGGTCTGTAGTTTTTAATAACATTTAAAATAAAATTTCACTGCAACAGCGACGTGTTGGAGACACTTTTTAACTGATCGATCTTTCTCATGTATGCTGTTGATATTCTATTCTTTGTTGTGTTGTTGTGCATAGCCTAGCCATTTTGAAATGCTGATTCCTTTTTTTGGTGATTTTTTTACGTTTGCAGTTTTTTTAAATTCTTTGTCATTTGTTATGACATCCAAGAATTCTTTTTACTACATTATCAGCACCAGAAGTCGGAGCATTATTTTTTTCTATAGTTCGATAACTTGATCTGCTACATTTTTAGCACTTTGTTTTACGTAATATTTCAGGAAATTAAGTTAGTGAAAAAATACACACATAACTTTTTTCACTGTGATTTTGCTTCAACAATTTTTGTCATCGGTTTGCCGATGAAATGTATCTCCTTATTCATATTAAATTATATTAAAACTTGGCGGTAAAATATTTGGTTAGAGTAATACATAAGAAGACACGACTCGCAAGCTACAAAAAAATGTACGCAATATAGAAATATAGGAGGTGACATAGAAACGATAAAAAACCAGTGATGACGCTAACAAGAAATGAATGAATAACAGAATTACCAATTTTTTAAAACTAAATCCTCAGATACAAAAAATAAAATTATAAAATTTGTGAAAAAAAAAGAGTTCTATTTTAAAGGAACCCGTTGAGAAATATTTAATTATGATCCTCAATTGTGATTACAGTAAAATTATAAGAGAAAATATCATTAGACATTTAATTAGGAAGAAATATACTCCCAAACAAATGGCGAAAAAATATTTAAAAACTTCAATTCTTATGAATGTTTTGAAGTATCCATTAAGATTCCAATGCAAATATCTTCAAAATGGTTAGAGTAATCGATAAACCACAAGAGACCTTTTTTGTAGAACATGCAATTGAATAATTGAAAATATTTCACGATAATTATTTTTCAGTCAATAACAAAATTCACAAACAATTTTTCTTTAAATTCTTCAATCTTTGACCTCGAATATCTTTAAAATGGTTCGATTTATCGAAAAAGTATGAGACCATTTTTGTAGTCTTCAATTTCCTATAAAAATTATTAATATAATTGGCTTAATGGCACACTAGTATTGCCCTTCAAAGGCCCCATTGATTAGCATGATCCTATTTCAGAATACGAACCTTTACAAGATATAGAAATAGTTGTGAGCTGAGCTAAAAGTGACACCAAGACGTATATGACGAAAAAAACCCAATAAATTTATAAATTTAGAGACGTCAATTAAAAGTTGAATTCCTATAGTGGCCCCGCGTGTGTGTGTAATTCAACGCACATTTTTCTAATCGTCTTCATATACAAATCCATAAACCACTATTATACTTGCAAATGAGACCATGCGACAGAATGATCTTCGCCTCCTCTCCCGACCGGCATAAAATTAGAATTAGAATATTTTTAAAGCCGTACCTTGAATATTATTACGCAACCGTGTTTTCGCACAATTTTCCATTTGAATAATTATACGGCCCATACTATGCGTGTGTATGAGAATTATCGACTTGGGATTAAAAAGAAAACCGTCAATTTTTGAAGCGATACGATTTGCGTATCTTCTGGTAATGTGCAGTAATTTTGGATATGATACACGAAGATAATAATAATAACAATAATATTAATATGGTGGAGTTTCACATTACACAGGTAGATATACCAGAAGTTGTTCATCTCATAACATCGAAAAGGTGAAGGAGGAAACATCATCTAAAACCAACGTATCTTGTGCACAAAGGGCAGTAGTGAATTGATTTCAGAAACAGTAATTGTCGAATAACTATGAACTGATAGTTCACGATTCTGTACTCCAGGCAGAATGGTGTATAGGATATATTGTAGAGCTCTCCCCTCAAAACCCAAATTACCGATTTCTAGAAAACAAAGACCCTGACGGAAATTATCTTTGCTGCTCTAATCAAGAGAGTACACCAACTAGCTCCGAAAAGGGCCAAAGTAGCATCCCCCATATTACAAGTGCTGAAGACTGATGGGATTGGCTAATAGCGACATATATGGCAGTTGATTACAACAGACCAGATATTGCTCTGATGGAAAGAAAATATCTGTAAGGCCAATAGTCGATATTGCTTTTTCATTATCCTATAACATCGGAAAATACGATCACCTTCCTATGGAGGTGAAAAAAATGTGGCAGTTAGAGAATTGCATCTTGGCAGGAGAATATTCTTCGAAAACGTTATCAAGAATCGGAGTAGAAGCATCGCATCCTGTGGACAAAGGGGATTCCGCAAAACTTGTCCTATTGTTTGCAGATGCCCGAACTGAGTAGTTATCATAAGTGATCTAAATTTTTTAACACATTTTTTGTCGAACGACTATGGGTTTATGAATTAATAAAGAATTGACTACTTAAGTTTAAGCCTCGAGAGTCTCAAATTGGTAGATAGATGATTCTGTACTCCAGGGAAAATGGTGTATAGAATGTAACGTACAGCGTTCCACTCAAAACAATAATTGCCAATTTTTTCGGAAGACTATGACCTAACAGAAATTGTTGCTTGTTTCGCATTGTTTGAAATAAATAATTACCAAAATGTCTAAATAACTTTCGGTTTTCTCCATTTCGAATTTTAATTGCTTTTTTTTCCTTTCAGGCCCAAATCATATAAAATGCCCACTTGTGGGCGGCCGTCATCAATTAGGAAAGGAGAGATATACCGTTATATCTGCATTCTTTTCTTAATAAACGCGAGCGCTGTTGCGTCAGCTAATAGGCAGACCAGAAACTTTAGGGAAGACCAGGAGAACCACTCGGCAAGCTCGTTATCACCCGGGGGGTAAGATGATAACATCCGATATTGCTGTTTGATTTTGAAATATATCAATCACTTGTTGGTTGAAGTTGCTAGTACTTGGATTTTGATTTCAACACAAATTTTTTAAATTTAATACTCCACTCTGGCGGACATAGGTATTGTTTCAAAAATGTCAGTTGAAAGTAAAAGTATGGGGGTAGAAGGTTGATATGAACGACCTCGATTTGTAATTAGTTGCGTGACGTCGTAAATCAATTATAAAATCTACACTAGGGCAGACGTGTAATACCTACATTAAATATTTGAACTCATTTTTCACACGCTCCTCTCATAAATCCCGAACGTTGACATATTTTGATGCTTCTATAATTACCTACAGCGTGTTGTAGGTGTTGCGAGTTGTCAGCGCTATTGTGTGATGAACCTGTGCAGTATCGAATTAAAGCTATTAGATTATTTAGTATTTATTCTGTACTAATTTGAATCACCAAAAAAAATGATGACATATATAGTTTAAAGGAAAAGACGTAATGATCCGAGCTTGGTACTATCTAGAGCTCAGGCTTAGAAAATTTACTCTTAAACTACACTAGGCGTAACACACTTAATAATAGAATTTATACGATATCCAAAAAAAATCCGATATTTAACTTAAGATTGTCAATTAGTCTAGTTTTCTGAATATTGCGTTGCCAGTACATTCGAATAAGAATTATCTGGTTTATTTTGTGCAGTAGTTTGATACAGTCTCAAGGATTTTTTTTCTAAATAATAGTTAATCACCGAAATATATACATGGTGCATACGGATTCAAGTTGCCAAGAACTTGCGAGTCCTGGGGCAACAGAATTGCGAAACAGTGCACTAAAATGGCCGATGGCAACGCTACATTTAATTAAACTATAATTAACGTAGCGAGAAATTATATCTCTTCAGTGAACTAGGTACATCAAATAGTTTTCGACACCAGTCAGCTTTTAGAACACATTTGTTGTGAATAATGAAAAATAATAAGGCAAATCAATGGAAATTTTATTATCTTATTAATAAATAATTAGAAATTGGTTTTTCAAAAATTGCCTTTATAAAAAACTTGGCTCGACCATCAAAACTATGTAATACTAAGGTCTACTTTTAAGAACATAACACAATAGACAATTGCAAAATGAAAAGTCACTAAAAATTACCCTGCTGTTTATTTCTTAGGAAATATATCGTATTTTAAATACAAATATAACGTTTTACTGAAATAAATTCACAAATTTCATATATACCTAAGTTTCCGAAAAAACTTTGTAATTTTACAAGTAACAGATTCATTTGAATTAGACTCGAAAAAAATTCTTGCGTTAGAGTGAAATGCGACACCAGTAAAACACCAAATTTCCAAGCAATATAAACAGCTGACTTCAGAGAGTTCAAAATCGAACTCGGCCTTCAGTTTGATCTTCGACGCGGGGGATTCGCATCTTCGATAATGCGGTATCGCCGTTTCCTTCAACAATTAACTCGAAAAACTAGCACTACTCGCACATTTATCGTACCCCAAAATAAACATTAATCGTTTTAAATGTTCACCGAAAGCGCTTTTACGATAATCAAATTGCTAATGTAATAACTATTCACCGATAAATATATCGTAATAATTAAAATTCATTGAGTAGATTTTGTCGTACTTAAAATTTATTGCTACTACAATGTTGTGATATTTGTTTACAAGCTAGGAACGATTATAAATAATCGTTCGGTAGTCCGTGGTTCATTAAAATGTGAATAATTTTGCCACATTGATGACGTATTCGTAACAGAAAGTAGTTTCTTTCAATATAGCTAATATAAATCCAGATTAACGAAAAATTTAGGAAGCTATCTAGGTATAACAAAGATACTATTGAAATCAAAGATAAGGACACGCTGTTGTCATGTCTATCAAAAATTTTTGCGTTGTTATGTAACGCCGTAACATTTTCCATCTTGCGTCCTTGATTTACAACATCAGAGTTACTTTGTTGTACTTGAGTTTTAAGCAATGGTCCAGATATTCTACAACACCTTCCGGAGTTGCAAATTTGACATTCGACTCGAAATGTGCCCTGTTCCTAACAAGTTTTCAAAACTAAAACTAGTCAAGAGTTTGTCTTAAAAGAGTCTTAAAAAATGGAACAAAGTCATAGTTGGTCGAAGTGTATCAATTTTACCGTATTTATGGCCTCTATATTGTCTAATATAGAGGTGTGGTTCTTTCTCATAGAGTTTGCAAACGTATAGTGATCTATACCGGCAATAATTCCATAATTTTTATCAACGACATTTGCAATTAAGTCATGTACGGGACCAACTGTTTAAATTCATCACCTACGCAATTTTTTAGATCAATTCTGTTAGACAATGAACTAGTTGTAGCGCTACACCTACTAACATGTCCGTGAAAAAAAATACAGCGATCTTGAACTACAACAGATCCGTATCTGACAAGTTTCTGGCAAAACTCTGGTTGATAGGAATTAATAATCATTTAGCCGGTGATGGATCAATATACCAGCAACTGAGGAATATGAATCCCATTATTACATAGAAGTATCAGAACTAGCTGCAGTGAGAAAATTTTAATTTTCAAAGTCGAATATACACTCTAACAAGCATTAATGGTAAAGCTGAAATCGATCAACTAAATAACAAAAATAGAAACTTGAGGTCTTTTTCACGTAACTAGCAGCAAAAATTATATTTTTCTTATGTACAGGAAGTTGAGAGATTTTATGAAATCAAATCGTAGTTCGCAAGGAACTTTCTTCTTTACGGTTCTATTGATTGTTTACCTAAAATGAGATTGTCGAGTTTCCCATAGAGGGCGTTTTCAGCTATTGATTGTGTCAGGCTTAGTAGAAAACAATGGAAAAAGTACTGCACGAATAAACTTGTTAACTTCGAACGAAATTTTGAATTGAAAAAAGTCACCAAGATGTTGCCAATGCAAATATAACAATAGAATGATGTATTATAATTAAAATTGAAAAATGCTAACAGCAACTTATCTTAAGAGTGTCAAATTTTCATGTTATCGGTCACCGCCAGAGTCCAACACCTGTGTACCCAATCGATTCAATTTTTAATGACAAATGCGTACTGGGAAACAATGAAAATATTGTTGAGCTCGGTACTGTTCCGTTGCGTCGTAATTAAGACTATTTAATAAGTTGGCCATGCCCCTGTGACGTTTCCTGTAAACGGCATAGAATGGGCTCTTTGTACGTCACTTAAATGGAATTTTTCGGCGTTTTATCTAATTTGCGTGCTGGAGAATCATGATAAAAGCGCTCTAACTTTTACGTTCTAACTTCATCCAATAAATGTTATACAAAGTATTCCTTTTGGTTTTTAACTTCAATTGACTGCCAACTGTGGTGTTGGTTCAGTTTAGTGTTTGCTGTGTAGCTTCGAACTCCTATCCTTATGCAGCAGTGTCGTACACTTAACAACTTGGCTTCCAGCTACAACTCTGCAACTCTCTTTCTCATTGTTCTGTTTTAAATACCAATGATTCCAGCACAAATCGCACCTGGCACATGCATTGTTTAGACATGTCTTATCTATTGCGCTGTTTTGCAAAAAATGTACTCAAAAACTAACGGTCGTAGAAAAAGTATAGTATGCAACACATTGATAAATTTTTTGAGCAAACTATTATTCACTCCACTGCAACATCTTCAAAATTATGTCAAACACCTGGTTTCATTGTTTCGTATACATGCAAACATTTGCATTTGCATTATACACGTCTAAAGTCTGTTAAAAAACAAACGTAAACGTTAATTGATTTTTTCGTATAAAATTTTGCCAAAATTGGCAATTACATCGGAATCTCATCAATAATTGATTTGGAAGCATGGTCTGTGGTCTAGACTCTAAGTTGTAGGAAAGCAAGAAAATTGTTGATTCGGTTGATTTGTGAGCAGCTCACGTTAGTTGTAATGTCTGTTTTGAAAAGGTGATGTGGCGTGGACTATAAATACTTTAGCAATTTATATACAATCAACCCACATTGCCTGCGTATACGTGAACTGTGGCCGTTCGTAAAACTCATTTCTTTGTTTAGGTAGATGTTAAGCGAGATTGGAAATTTGTTCGGTTAAGTGGATATTCAACACCACCGCCACCACACACGACGACTATTCAACAACTATACCGCAGTGCCTGTTAAATAATAATTCGTTTTCTCGGGAAGGCGGAGTCGTCATTGAAAACACTTGCCTGCTCATGGGGCATTTTTTAAAATATTTTACTCATTGCCTTGTTTAACCGTATCAGACATTATTTTTTGGTTTCGAGCAAAAAAAAAAACTCTCCATATAGCGAATTTACTTTTTGAAATCCAGTAAACTCCCAAATATTTACAACTGAGGCTCCTTAGAAAAAATCAGGAATAAAGTGATTAGAACGTTTCTGAAAATTAATTATTATCGTGTTTTTTTGAGTGCGGTTCAGTAATGTACTTGATTTTTTTTAAACCTTATGTATTTTTGTTGTAGTATGTGTACTAACACAATACGACAACATGAAAGAAGTTGCTTAAAGCCTTCAGCAATGGTGCGATATTTGCCTAATTATCACCGCTCTCAAAGTACCCACCCCGCGTTGTTATGTTAATCGAGAGTTCTTCGTTTCGAATGGCGCCTACAAATTTATGTAGGGGGCTTTTTAGGGGATAAATCATCCAGTCGAAGCATGTAATAGACGCTGTCAGCAATTCACATTGTAAATCATACGAAACACTGGCTGTCGACCTATCACCTGAAAAAAATCCGTTTACATTCTTTCCATCAATGAATCGTTAACACTCTATCGGTGGCATCTTGTTGTTGTACGTTGAAAGAGAGATGTCGGAAAAATACTGTCCTCACCAGAGATGAACAACCTTTGATATACAGAGTGTTGCTTTGAAATATGAAAATCCAGCCTTGGCTTCTAGTTCGACACAGACTGACTGTTTTTTTATTCCTCGTACTCCAAAAGTTTTAGTC